ATCGAGACACCATCTCTAGCCTTTACTCAACCAAGAGCCCCAAGGCAGGGGGTGTTTTAATTCGGAATTAACTTCTCCTAGCCTTTGCCTAAAAAAGCGTATCCTACAAGGCAGCAGGACATGGAGCAGGTTGTACTGGGTTACATGTTACCAGTAGCAGGAAAACCTGACCTGACCTTGACCCTCTTGCACTTCCGAAACTTATTATTGGAGAAAACATCGTAAAAAAATAATTTAGCAGCCGTGGCGCAATGGTTAGAGCGCTTGCTATATAAGCAGGAGATCCAGGTTCAAAACGAGCTTCGGACATATTTCGCGTCACGGTAAGGAAGGAGGCGTGAACTTCTTGGTTAAATGTACTTTCACGGTGCTCTGTGACAAAACCGTTAGGTCTTCTTGGGGCATCTAAGTAACAAATAAATAATAAAAAAAAGGATGTTCGATGGAATTTCTAGGTGTAATTCTAGATGAAAAAATAAATTGGAAAGACCGCATAAACATGTTTGAAAACAAAATTTCTAAAAATATCGGATTACTCTATAAAGCAAATCTTAGATCAATTATGTTTTAAATACATATATTAATCATTTATTCATTCCTATCTTAATTATGCAAACATTTCTTGGTGCAGCACCAATAAAACAAAGACAAAAAAGCTATTTATCAAACAAAAACATGCATTTAGATTATCAGCAAATGCACACCACCTCTCACATTTAAGAACATTGTTTAACAATCTAGAAATATTAAATTTGTACTAAATAAATATATATCATCTTCTAATTTTTATGTATAAACTAATAATAATACAATACCAAACATTTTCAAACCATCATTTAATAAAATTCAACACTAATACATGACTAAATATTCAAATAACTTTGTTCAACCCAAAACTATGTATGAGTCTACTAGCGACTAGCGAGCGACTTTATAGCGATTTTCAAGCAATTTTTTTTTTCTTATTTTATTTTTTCCTAATGTCTTAAACATCTTTAAAAATTCGGTTTTTAGAGTTGAGTCTATTATAATTATGAGAATAATTAAAGTTTGACATTGCAATTTTGTAGAAATGTGTCGCTAGCTACATATTGCAGCTTTGTCCCAGTGGGCACCGGACCTAATAAACACGTCATTTAAACGTTTAATTAATACGTCCAAAAATTTAATTAATACGTCCAAAATATTGATTGCTTTTCGCTAACTTAAAAAAGCTGGTGATCCTTGTGGCCAAATCACTGTCTTTATCGTTACGATTATAACTAATATAACTACGATTATAACTAGCTATTTGCTGGCCGATTTCCCACCGGGTAACTATTAGAGGACCTAATGTATGGGATAAGATAATTAGTAATGATATTACAACTCTTGAACAGTTTAAACAAAAACTGTGGAATAATTTAGCTTTTATCGTTTTCAAAATGGTGACTAATATATTAACCTAGAAATAGAAACTGCTCCAAGATAGTATCTACATTTTAAGCGTCAATTGGTATTACGCCTTCAATATAATATTCCAATAACTCCAAAAAATTTTATGCGACGCAGGCTATGAATACCAAAAAATTGTTAATGTAAGCAATGAGAAAACATATATTATTAACAAGAATATAACATCAAGAAATGGGAACAAAAAAATTGCAAAAACGCTGATTTTTTTTATTAAAATATAAACTGCAATTGTTTTTATTAATCTTGAAAAAAGTTTGCCTCAAGCTAATTTTTACTGCGACTTAAGGTGTCCGCCTAAATTTTGAATTCAAAATTAGGTTTTTGCTTTTTAAAGTTTACTTAAAAGGAAATTTAGCGCAGTAAATTTTAAAAAAGTCATTTTCATAATTATCAGTAATAAAAAAAAAAATGCAAACAGTCCAATGATTATTATATAAGTTTATCAAGATAGAACCGTTCTAAATATTAACACCTTCCTTTATTTCATTGGTATTGTATTTGGTGTGCTGGTTTCTAACTCCGACTGAAATTGGTAGTGGTAAGTAATCGCTCAAACTTTTTTATGAAGCACTTTACACTTAAGATTGAGGAGGTTTTTATTTGTTCATACGACGAATTTATTATTGTCTGGTGTCGATATATGTAAATAATAGTGTCTGTTGTCGGTATATATAAATGGTAGTGTCTGGTTTCAGTACGCGTAAATAGTAGTTTTTGGTGTAGATATGTGTAAATAAGGCCAGAACCTTTATAACAATTAGTTCCAACTCATTTGCTTTTAAAAACACAGATAAATGCACTCAAAAATTCCGATAAATGGTTATTCATTTTGTATTTAGATCCTTCTATGGAATAATAAATTTGGCACGGAAAAGATTGAAAGTCACCAGTACGGGGTAAGCGATATATATAAATATTGATGTTTTGACGTCTAATATTAGACTGCTTATCTTTACGTGACGGGGTAAAGTCATATATATATATATATATATATATATATATATATATATATATATATATATATATATATATATATACATATATATATATATATATATATATATATATATATATATATATATATATATATATATATATATATATATATATATATATATATATATATATATATATATATATATATATATATATATATATATATATATATATATTATATATATATATATATTGGTATTTTGACGTCTAATTTTAGACTACCCATCATATTTTATTTTGGGTTAAATACTCATGAAATCTGTGAAAGATTATTTTGAGAAGCTTAGAAAAGGTAAGGAATACTGAGATAGGTCTATCATTATTAATTAAGTATGATTCACCTGTTTCAAATATTGGTACTACTTTAGCTACTTTTAACTTGTCTGATACAGCTCCTGTTTTAATCGAAGACTTAAAAATTTTAAATATAGGTTTATTTATCGTTGTAAAGATACTTGCCTCTTCCCTACTACAGAATCTTCGCCACAAATTTATTTTAAGGAATTAAGAGCAACATTAAGTTCTTGGTAGCTTTTTATGTTTTAGCTCGTCCCTGGTCCCGTGGTTTTTATGTCCACCACGTCCCTGGTAGTTCCGCGCTCAACTTGTTTCTCCGCACAGCGGCTTTGTTTGACGCGAACCCTGCAAGGTTCGTGTCTCGGAAATATAAAGTTAAGAGAGGGTTATAACTACAATTAAGTGGCATTCTTGTCTGTGCCTTCACGGCCTTGAGGAGGTGAATTACCAAAGAAAGAAAAAAAATTTGTAAACTATTATTACTAAAAATATTTTAAGAAGTAAATTCAGCTGGAATATACTTAATTACTATATTTTAAGAAGTAAATTCAGCTGGAATATACTTAATTACTATGGATACAACTATGGATATATCCAAAAACTCAAATATGTCTTTCCAAGCATGGAGCAACCCCAACATTTTACTCTTAGGTGTTTAATACACGGAAGGTAACATTTATTAATTTTTGGATAATTTTCCCACACACTCCAAGCTTGTTAAGATCCTCCCTCCCCTGTTAATTAATTTTTATTTGTTATCCACAAAAATAACATCTAAAAAAAAAAAAAAAAAAAAAAAAAAAAAAAAAAAAAAAAAAAAAAAAAAAAAAAAACAGAAAAAATATTTATCTAAAAAATATACACTGAAATTAAGGTGTTTTTCAAAAGATTCTCGTTTATCGGTTATTAATTTAATCAATCAAGATATTTTCGTCAAATATCTGATATGCAAGCTAAACGATTAGATTTTTAATTTTATTTAGGTATCCCAAGAAGTCCTTATGGTCTTATCACAGAGCATCGCGGATGAATATTTAATTGGAAGTTGACGCCTCCATCCTAACCGATACCGCAAACTTGCGTCATCGGTTAGGAAGTTCAAAAAGAGACTTTGTTAAAGTCTTAAATTCTGTATAAAGCAAAATTTTTTTTTAGACACAAGCAGAAACAGTTGTATTAAACAAAAATTAATTTTCATTTATTTCATTTCATTTAAAACTTAAGCTATGGACTTTTATAAAAAATATCTATTTAAGATTAACAAATTAGCCTTAACTATGTTGAGTAGTCACTGATAAGAATAAAAACTTTCAATGTAATCAGCAGGGGTGTGAAATCGTAAAAAAAAAAAAAATACCAACTCCGACCGTTGAAATTTTTAGAGTACGACTCCGATTCCAGGGCAAAATTTTTGAAATTTTTTTTGAATTCTTTAAAAAATATTATGCGATAATTAAAAAATTGCTTGTTTGCCAAATATATGAAAAAATCTTTGAAGGTTAAATTTTTTGTACATGCACGTGCAATACGGAGTTTTTACTATCGGAGTCGCGATTTTGTTTAGCGACTCAGACTCACAGTCCTGGTAATTAGGCTTTATAAAATTTCGTAAATTTTGATTTGTCAAAAAAACAGTTTTTTGTTTTATCTTACCATAACATAGTTCTTAATTATAAGCATATTAAATCCTATTGAAATGAAATGCATACGAAACATCTATTAAAAAATGGACATTTGACCACAAGCCACACTAGATTTAAATTGGTTTGTTCTGTAAAAAATTCCCACCCAACCTTTAATTACTCCCCACATCCCTCCCCCCCGTTTATTAATATTCACACCCCTTCCATCCCCCCTCCTTGTATCAAGCACTTTAGAGTACGAACAAATTCACGCAAAGCCTTTTTAATAACGTAAAAAAAGTTTTTAAATAGTTAACTGCCCCAATTTCATGTAAACCTTACTAGAAACTGGAAACTATTAAAAAAAGTAAAAAAAATTTTTCAAACCTCTCAAAATTAGCGCTGCATATTTGCTACTTTTAGAATCTGTTAAGTTATGACCCAACGCTTATAATGATTTTTCAATCCTAATTCTAACCTGCATTGGGTAAACAATATGTAACACTCTCCCTGTCCTACCCATGATTTTAAAATATTATTACTAAAAAAATTGTAATGTAGAAATCAGTGGTCGAGGTTTCCTTAAAGCCAATTAATAGTTGTAATTAAAAGCTGCGACAACAAAAGCTGTTTATAAAAATTAATAATTTTTTTTTTTCTTCACAAGATTTATTTGTACATTCAACAATAAACATCAGACAAATATTCATAAGTGGAACAGCTACAACACAGTACACATTTCTATAAAATTCAATAAATATTTCGTTCATTTAAAAAGGTCCCCAATATTTACAGTGGAATATGCATTGAGTTTTAATGTTTTTTCAACCTCATGATAAAGTGTTTGCCATAAATCATCTAAAAAAATTTTTTTTACATGTACCATTAATCAAAATTATGTGAAGAAATACAAACAATCGGTTACCATTAACAGAAAAAAAACTTACTTTGCTTTCGAATTCGCTTTATTGTGACTTCAGAAGTTTTGTTAACATCGAATAACCTGCTTAAGTAAATTAGCTGATTGTACAACATAGTGTCGCTATACTAAAAGAAAATGAAAAAACCGATGTTATAACCTAAAAATGTAAGCAAAACTTTTAGTGAAAACTTCTTAAAAAAACTGCTCACATCAACATGAATATTTCTTTTGCCACACTGATTACAAATTTGCGCATGCATAAAGCTTTTCACCGATATGTGTCGAGATACATATCCACACGAGCGATCGTCACAAGACATCCAACACTATGTAATTCAATCATACTCAGTAATATTTCATTAATTTCACAATTATAAGGTAATGTTCGCAAAGAAAAATGAATTTCAGCAACAACAACAAAAAATTCGAAATACATTAATACACTTAGAAACAAACTTTAAGAACATGGAAGACATCCTCAAAAATTTCTTGATTATCTACAGATACAACTTTCTGATTTTAAAAATGCGAAAAATATTCTCGAGCCATATTAAATAAAATAAAAATTCGAAAATAGATTTCAAATTTTTTAAAAATTTTTAAATTAAAAAAAAAATTGTCTTCTAGTTGCTGACTACCTATATAAACATTTTTACTTAAGAAAAACAAAAAAAAAAAGAAAAAGAAAATAACTTTTTTATATTTTACATAAATTTTAAAATTTATGTAAAATATAAAAATATTTATATTTTAAAATAAAATAGATAGAGATTTTTTCAGCCATAATTTATTTACATCATTTTTTATCGCATTACTTACAGTATACAAGCTTGTTAATTATGTTTATGTGTACAAAAAAAACTTTAAAAAACAATATCTTATGGTGATTCAAATATATAACTAATTCAAATTTATGGTGATTCAAATATATTAGAAATTAAATTTAATTGATCAAAATATTATAGTAATACACATTTCATACCCATGAGATTTTAATATTTTTTCTAGCTACAAAAATAGTTAAAAATTCTAACAATATTTCAACAACATACTTGTTCAACATAATAGTTACAATTAGTTTTATCATTTTAACAACATAACTACAATTAGTTTTATCATTTTAACAACATAGCTACAATTAGTTTTATCATTTTATCAACATAGCTACAATTAGTTTTATCATTTTAACAACATAGTTACAATTAGTTTTATCATTTTAACAACATAGTTTCAATTAGTTTTATCATTTTAACAACATAGTTTCAATTAGTTTTATTATTTTAACAACATAGTTACAATTAGTTTTATCATTTTAACAACATAATTTCAATTAGTTTTATCATTTCATCAACATAGTTACAATTAGTTTTATTATTTTAACAACATAGTTACAATTAGTTTTATCATTTTAACAACATAGTTACAATTAGTTTTATCATTTTAACAACATAGTTACAATTAGTTTTATCATTTTAACAACATAGTTACAACTAGTTTTATCATTTTAACAACATAGTTACAACTAGTTTTATCATTTTAACAACATAGTTACATCTAGTTTTATCATTGCAAGTTATCACTAATTAGTTTGCCACTGTTAGCTAAACTAAACTAATTAACAAAAATAGTAGTAAAAAATAGTTTAAAACTTTTTCATTTAAAATAATTAACAAAAAATAGTTAGGAACTTTTTCACTTAAAGTAAATATTTTTTATTATACTTTAGCAAACAATTTATAAATTTTTTTCCAAAAAATAATTTACAAAAATTAGTCTAAAAAATGAATTTTGTTCCAATATTTTTTTGTGGAGATAACATTCTATTATTTTCATTTGTATACACCATTCTATTGTCATACATTTAAGGAAAAATTTTTATAAAGCATAAAAATTGTTTTAAAGACTGTGAACTTGCTTTTTTATGAAAACATTTTTTATGATATTGAATTATCTCTTAATTCTCACAATAAAATTCATTCTTAATTATCATTTTATTATATCACATAATTCTTACCTTCTCAATCATATTTTTTTTATTCATATAAAAACATATTTGAATATGAAAACTTGTATGTTAGTTTATAAAATTATTTTTTAAATAACTTATAACAATAGGAGTTTCTTTAGTATGTTAATATTTTTAGTTTAGTAATTGTTTTTTTTAAAAGCAAAAAACAAAAAGCGGATGATGCTGATAATTCTTGTTAAAAATGTAAATTCCCATCATTTGAACTGAAAAATCCATTTAAAGTCAAAATCATATATTGATTAAATCAACTCAGAGTATTAATGTTAACTTTTGAAATTATTTTTATAATAATTTTTTTTAATTATTCACCTCCCCAAGGCCTGAGGGGCCATTACAGTCGAGGAGGTTACTCATTTTTTGTTGTTGTTGTTGTTGTAAATCGTGGTACAACCCTCTCTTAACTCTTTAACTCCAAAACACAAACCTTGATAAGCAAGGTCGCTGCGCGGAGAAATTAAGTTAAGCGCGGTACTTCCAGGGACGTGGTGGGAGTCGAACTTAACTACAACCAACCTGAATTTCTAGCATGTCAGCATTTTAAACTTAATATTTATATTCTACACTTGAATTTGATAATCACAAAAAAATACATTTTATAAATATATATTAAAATTAAAAACTATTATACATTAAATATGTTTTAATAACTTAACTACCAGTATTTTGTAATCAGTCGAAAAAGTTACCTTAACAAAAAAACATGGAAAAACAAACAAAAAAACAGCGATGTACAAACAAGTAAAGTTTATTAAAAAGCCTAGCAAGAACATTATTTTATTCAAAAGATAATAAAAACTTTCACTTTAAGTAATCTATCATTCTCTCAGTTTTTCAGCACCATTATTATTATATTGTTATAAAGTCTTTTATTTGTTTAATTGTTTATTTTTATTTTATTTATGATTTAAAAGTTAAAAGGAAGCTTTTTTTTTCCCTCTCTCTCTCTATAAAAAAAAAAGTTATCATAAACAATAGTTTCATAAAACATTTGTGAGGGATTATTAATGTTATTTTAAAATAAGTTAATACTTTTTATAAAAACAAATAAAAACATGGAACACCAAAGCAATACTTAAAGAAAACGCAAAATAAAGCAATACTTAAATGCCTAACAGAATAGTCATTGAAGAAAGAGATTTTAAATCATGTAACTTTCAAGAAAGTTATTCCAGAGATGTTATCATGGCACAACCATTATCCAACATACTATTTATATTCAAAAGCCTTCTACAATACTTTACATAAACTAAACTGTAATTAAACATTCTGAATGGCTGATAAAATACATTTCAATCATGAAGTTGTTAAAGACTTGTTTGAAATGGTTAATGTTTCAAACCAGACCTTAACAATTTATAGATAGATGATAATGTAAAGTACAGAAGAGAAAGACGTTAAGTAAAAACAAAAAAATATATTTTTTTTAAGATTAGCATTGTAATAATATCAATAATATTTGTTGTTACCGTTTATATATGTTGATGTTATAAATATACAACTAATCTTTGCAAAGTATTGGTGATATTATTGCATTATCAAGTCCAATTCTGACCTGCAATAACTTGCTGCATAATTTTTGCAAACATGCACTCTACTATGTACAACACTTTATTACCAAACTACACATAAAATATATTTATTTAGGCTTATATATTAAATATAATGAAAACTCACTGAGTAGTATCTATTGATAAAATTTCTGATAAAAAGCTTTAAACAGTTGTGCAATTTATTACGATGATATGGCTGATTGCATGAAGAGCAAACAAAAGGATCAACCTGATTAAAAAATAACAAAAAAATATAAACAACAAAAATATTTTAGTGATTCTTAATAAAAATGAAAAAATCTAGATAGTATATTTAAACCTTATTATCAAAAGATCCTTTAAACTCTACTTCTTGTTTGAACAAAGAACAAGACTCAATATTACACCTCACAAAAAACTTCTCAATATCCTAAAATATAGTTAAATATATATATATGATTAAAATTAGAAAAAATCATAAACCAAATCTAAAAGTATAAAATATACTTACTTTGAACCTTTCCTCATCTGTCATGAGAACTGTTAACAATCCTTGTTCATCTTGTTGAACTGAAGATGATTTATAACCTGTCGGATCGAGTCCTATAAATAACATTATCCACAATTCATCATAAAATTATCTACAATTTATTCAAATTATCTACAATTCAGAAGATAGAGAATATAAGATAGAACAAGATGAAATATAAGATATAGTTGATAGAAAATTTAAGTTGCAATTATCTATACAAATTATCTATACAATTATGTCTACAAACTAACACTTAATAGTATTTCAAATTGTGTAAATGTTGTAAAAGGCCTTGCGTTAAAGACTTTTACTAATTTTACTTTTTGTGGTTATAAATTTAGTCTAACTTCAAACAATATAAATATAAATACAATTTGAGCTTAAAAGATTTTCACAAATAAACATTTAATAATTAATAACTTTATTAGTTTTTTTTTCTGACTTGCTTTACCAAAAAAAAAAAAGATCAAGTGCCTTATTTTATCACAATATGAGTTTTAAAAAATCTTCATTTTAAGCACTATTAAAATAAAATTTAAAAAATATTTCATTTGTAAAAAAATCATTTCAACCATATTTTTAAAACCTAGAAATTAAATTATGTAGAAAATTATTCTCCTAAATACAAAGATACCTAGAAATAGAACTATACTATATTTTTCCCAGTGCAAACATTTTGAAAACTACACAATGTAACAAACTTTGTTGTTTTTCTGAGTCTGGAGGATGATTTTTTTTTCTTAATTTCCTACATCTAGAGTGTCCAAATAATGTCAGCTAGGCTGTAAAAAGTTTGCTTTTCTGACTTATGCATTAATATTTGATATTATATTATTAAACTTTCAACTAGGTGATATATATAATCATTATCTGATATATCTATTTATCAAACTTAAATATTGTAAACAAATATTATATTATCTATTTGTTAATCTAGGTAAACAATATTTTCTTTTCATTAAAAGAATCACCACCTGCCAACTTCTTACCCCTATAACATATATGATGATGTGCATCATATATGTAATGAAAGGTGGAACTGTTAAACATAAGTTTTGTTATACCTATGAGTTTTGATTAGAAATGACATTTTAATCTAAATATTAAAACGTATAACAAACTTTTAATAAATTAGAAAGAAAAAAATCTTTAAAAACTCAAAAAATGTGTTACACTTGATATTTTTTTACGCATCTAGAAATCAAACAATTTGTAACAAATTAGAAATAAAAATTTAGAAATAAATCACTGGGAAGCTATTTTCAACGCATCTAGAAATCAATAAGAATCAAATCCATTTTATACAACATAAATTTTATGTTGAAAAAACAAAGAAAATTTCTTTATTTTTCACAATGACATTTTTTTAAATATTTCATCTTTAAGTGAAGGTTGTTTTAAATACAAAGAAATTTTAAAAAGATTTAAAAATTTATTTACCCAAACATTCAGCAATGAAAGATGAGTCAGTTCCTTCAATAGGATCACATAACCGTGACACAACAGGATGAACTTGATTTGATAGATAATAATGATAATCTACATATTTAATAACTTAAAACATTAAAAAACCTTTAGTAATTACAGTATTTATAATAAAAAGTGTAAAAATATAAATATATATAAAAAAACTAATATATTAAAGTTTTTACAAAAATTAGATAACATATAGTAAAAAGTACCAATTTTTAAATTTGAATTTTTTAAACACTCTTCTGGGTGGTAAGCTCGCTGTGTAGCAGGTAATTTTGAATTGTCCTGAATAAAAATATTTAATCAACACACTTTTTACTTAATCAATCTTTATCAAATTTTCATAAATTTGTTTACTCACATCACAAATTATGTAAGTAATAGTATCTCCAACAGCAACACGACGTCCTTGTGCCATTAACCTTAAAGCAACTGTGACATGTGGCAGTGATTTTTTGTCAGGATATTCATCTGGATTTTTTGTCAAACACTAATAAAAGGCAGAAAATTATTGAAGTTATTATTATTTAAGACAAATTTTAACTTTAACAAAAAAAAAAAAAAAATTATCAAAATAAAGCTATCAAAAGATTAAAACTATTTAGGAGGAGCCTGACTATGATTCAAATCTAGCTTAACAACTTAATCAGTATTTAGATCTAGCTAACAACTTGATCAAGATTCAGATACAGCTAAACAACATGATCAAAATTCAGATCTAAACAATTTAAACAGGATTCAGAGCTCATCTAGCTAAACAATTTTAATATTTTAATTTTAGACCTTATTAATTTCAAATTTTTCCATTTCTACTTCACCATTTGATAACTTTTTAGCAACTAAAAAAAATAAAAACTTTTATTAATATATACACAAAAACACACCCATATATACATAAAAAAAAACTTATCAAAATAAAAAGCTAACACAAACGAATATATACCATCTCTTAAAAACTCATGTATATTTTCAAGTATAACATCTCGAGGCTTTGAAGACAAAATTTCATTTATGACATAACTAAAATAATGATCAAAAAGAAACAAGCATAGACATTAAAATTTAATAAAAAGAAAAATAAAATCCAAAAAAGATATCCTTTTGATATTGTAAGAAGTAAAAATGTAACAATTAAAAAATACCTTCCCGATTCTTTAGCTAAACCACACCAATCGCGACGTACAATATCTAAACCTTTCATTTCAGTGTGCTCAACAAGTTTTCCTAATGATTTAAAATCAAACATTTTTGAGCCTTTATTTAAAATATTATCACTATATATATATATATATATATATATATATATATATATATATATATATATATATATATATATATATATATATATATATATATATATATATATTATATTATATATATATATATATTATATTATATATATTATATATATTATATTATATTATATACATATATATATATATATATATATATATATATATATATTATATTATATATATTATATTATATATATTATATATATTATATTATATACATTATATACATATATATATATATATATATATATATATATATATATATATATATATATATATATATATATATATATATATATATATATACATATATATATATATATATATATATATATATATATATATATATATATATATATATATATATATATATATATATATATATATATATATAAAAGGGTTGTCCAAACTCTTGAAGTAAAGTTTTTTCCATTATACTATCAATACTGTTTAAAAATAGTTTTTGATAAATGATCACAAGGTCCCTCAAAGCCTCTGAACAAGTTCCCAATTTTTGTTATAAATTGCATTTTTAATTTTTTTTTTATAGAATCACAATAATCAAAGAATCATTTTTAAAAAGTTTTGCTTTGTTTTCAGTGGCTTCTAATTGTACAATTTGAGTTTTGACACTGTTTTGTGAAAGAATAAATTTAATTTTATCATTAAATATATTGGAAAAATATTCGAAGTAGTAAGAAGCATGAGCCATCATCATCATGATCATCATCACAGCAAATAACAAAGACAAAAAGTCTAAAGAACCAAAAGAGAATCTACTTAGTCAAGGTAAGACAATAAATAATATTAGTACTCCTAGCTCATATAAAGCAGACCTGTGACAAAAAAGTTAACTTAGTTCTGGTAAATTAGTCATCCTTCAACATCAATTAATGCCTGATTGTAGGCAAATTATGAAATATGTCTTATTTCTAAGGAACAATCCAGAAAATGTTAAAAATAAATTGAAGAATGAGGATATTCCTTGTGTTGTGGTTAATACAGCCTTTGTTTTTTGGAATATGGCATGCATAAAAATTAAATACAGATAGAATTGCATGTCTGATGTAATGAAACTTTAAAAAGAAAACAAATTTTATTGAACGATTGGATTTTTAACATTGGTGCACCTAACGCCATAGATTAATTAGATTAAATAAAGAAATCAAGATTTTTGTCAGAAAGGAAAAAAAATAAAATGACTTTTATTTGGACCAACAACAGGTAAGAAGATCATGTATGGATGGATAAAATTTTTGAGACCAAAGCTGAAATGAAAATTGCAAGACAAGCACGTGAAGCAAGAATTGCAGAAAGAGAACAGTGCAGGTTGGAAATTTTAAAAGAAGAAAAGGTTGAAGGAGTTTCTGCTTTGCTAGAATATGGTTCTAAGACACAATTAAATGAAGATGACCAAACTGAAATTGATACTGATTTTGAAATAAAACTACAACAGGAAGCAACAGAAATAGATCAAGACGAATATGTAACTCTTAAGCTACCTAAGAAAATAATGCAATGTGACCAGATAACCAGTGCTGCTGATTGTCTCAAGTTGTAAGACAATCAAATGACAATGATTATATCAGCATTAATAAAAACTGCTGGAGTTAATCTTGAAGATTTTGACATATCAAGATCTACAACTCGGAGAACAAGAATGTTCAATCGTCGAAAGATTGCAGAAAGTGTCATGGAGACAGTGAAACAGAACCTATTCCAGTATGGTGCTTTGGGATGGTAAGCTTTTAAAAGATATGCTAGGAAAGACATATCATCAAGTGATATATAGAAAATGGTATATACAAAGGAGCTGCTAAATTAATGGAAGCAAGTCTAGATAGAAATTAACTGTATCTATTATCTATAGTTGTCATTATTTTTTTTTCGAACTTGTTGTTGGTACTGTATGGAAGTTATTATTTGGTGATATTTTAGGCCTGGGAAACAAACTGTTTTCAAAATTTAAAGATTGGTCAAACTTGAATAAAGATCAACCAATACAAGTACTAGAAACTGAAAATCAATGGTTGGTAAACATAAAACATAAAGTTGTTAAAGAACTTACAGACATGCTATCAACAACTTTTCCTAGAGATAATTATCATGAATCTGCTGGAAACACTCTGATAATCTTGGGTGAAATTCCCCCACATGTGGCCCAATTTCTCAAACCATGGGTTATGAATAAAGCATTTTGGATGGCTAACAACATATACGTTGGAAAGATGTATATGTTTTCCAAACAGATGTGTTATGATGATGACATGGTTGCTAAACTCATGCGTATGAATGGATTTTTGGCTCATTTCTAAACTCCTGCATGAATAAAAACATCATGGGGAGTGGATGCACCAATGGGCGACCTCCAGTTTGTTCATGACATGATTGATTTCAGAAGTGTTGACAAAGATATTGCTGACATTGTGATTAAAAAACTCCATAATCATCAATCGTACTTGTCAGAAGAAGTTGCTCTATTTAACTTACTTAGTAATCATCCTTTGTTGATACATGCACTAAAGAAAGAAATGGCAGATCAATTGCTTTTGACTCAAACTTTTACCAAGAAATACCCGAAAACTTTCGTCTTGGTAAACCAGTATTCAAAAAAATTGGTGGTGAAACAACTTTGAAAAGTTTGACTGGGCCTAAATCTCATTTGTTGTTCCACATTTTGAAAGTGAGTAATGGTTGGCTTTCCAAAGAAGTGGAGCAGTGGAATTCAGGCCAGGCTTTTAGAGTTGCAGAACAATTTGTTTTTACAGTTAAAGTTGTCGACGATGCAGCGGACTTGGTGTCAAATTAATCTCGTATTTTGCTACAATCATACAATCATTTGCTACAATCAAAAGTAAAATGTTAAATGTAACATAAACTTGCTTTTTTTGTAGATCTGATTAACTTTATGTTAAATAATTTTAGTTAAACTGTGTTGTTAAATTTATAGAAATATAACATTTTTAAAAGTGGGGTTCACATTTAGAGGCTTTAAGGGACAACAGGATCACTTGTCAAAAATCTGTTAAAATTATTTTTAGACATAGTATTGATAATATAGTGGCAAAAAACTTCACCATGCTTTGAGACTTGATACTATATCCTGAACAACCATAAAATAAATATATACATATATGCGATGTCTTTTCCAACTAATATTGCTATCCTAATGTTGACAAAAATAAAATTAACTAAAATATGAAATGTAATGTAGGTGAAACTCCATCCTCAAGGTTACAATACCCAACTTACCTAATGATGCTTTAGAGTCTGACAAAGAATGTTTATTTTATTTTATTTTAATTCACCTCCCCAACTCCAAGAAGGTCACTACAGACAAGGAGGCTACTTAATTGTGGTTATAACCCTCTCTCAACTCTATAACTCCGAAACACAAACCTCGACAAACAAGGCCGCTACGTGGGGAAACAAGTTTAGTGCAGTACTACCAGGGACGTGGTGGGAATCGAACTCGGGACCTCTCGCTTATGAAGTGAGCGCTCTACATCTCTATTAACACGTTACATCACTCATCATGGATACACCCTTGTTACTCTTATAATCCCTTCTAGCTTTTTTATGTTTAAATGATAACTTCATCAATAATTAAAAACCATTTAACTAATAAAAAGTTTATACAAACCATCATCTTTAATTTCAACTACAACTGCAGCATACCTAAATATTGTACCAAAGTTAAGAATAATACTAAGATATCTTAAAACAAATATTAAATAAAATTTAAAATGTTAAATAAAATTTAAAAATAATTAAAACTACTTTTTTTTCTTGAGAAGAAGCATTGATTTAAATATTCCATCAATATCTATTTCAAGTGTTCTGTATAATTTATTAACTTCACTTTTCACCTAATAAAAAAATATAAATTTTAAGTGTTCTCTTTAATTTATGACCTTCACTTTTCACCTCAACCATGCACACTTTAAAACCTGATCACTTTAAGGGTTGAAATTTTACTCAATTATTTGAACAGGCAAGGTTTTGGATGAGCATTTTCCTAGCAACTTTATCTTCCATCACATATTTTAACATCTGCGGAACATTTTCATACAAAGCAGATATCTTTCTCTGATTGTAGAGTAAGATAACGATTTTCAATCGTTATCTTGCTCTACAATCTTCATCTTTTCTCTTCCAGTAACTTCCAACACTAATTAGTGGTTGCTTGCAGCCTTGTTGGAAGCAAAGATAATAAAAAAAAAAAATCTAACTTTTTCTTACAGTTTCTATTTACATAAGTTACATTTTACATACATTTTATCATCAAGTAAGAAAAAGTTGCCATGTTTATCTAGGAATTATCATGTTTGTTTTTTTTGTGATTGTATTTTTGCCATTGTACTCAATGGTATTCTGATGACCTTTTGGCTTCAAGTTCTATTGTGTAATAAAATATTGTTTCTAATTTTAGCATTTTAACAAAAGTGATGCTGTTCCATATATTTAATATATGTCAGAAATACTCAAAATGTGCTTCAATGATCTAATGATTGTCTGATGAGGTTTGATAAAGCTAGGGAAATTAGCTGGATGATGTTTAATAACAAAATATCAATTTCAAGTGTTATAATTTATTAAATTAACTTTTCAACCATAAAAAAATTTATAACAGTATTTGAAAATTACTAACTTACTTTTGATCCTATTTTTCGAACCTCATTGAGATCATTAGAATTTGTATTAATCATAATTGAATCTGTGTCGCCATATATAACTTCTAGCCCAAGAGCTTGAGCAAGGTCTTTTGTTTTCATTAAGATCTAAATCAGTTTTTAAGCTGTAAAAAATAACTGTTTGATAAAAAATACTATTAGTAACAAAACAAACTTAGTCAAACCCAAAAAAAATAGACTTTAAAAAAATAAAACTCAAATATAAAGGAACAAGTTAGAAAAAAAAAATTCAAAAATAGATTAAATAAAAAAAACTAGACAATAAAACTGCAACGTCACTTTATTGCTTCCAAAAAGTAATATATCTTTATACGATTTAAAATCACATTAACAACTAATGATAATAAAATCAAAACATAATCACAAAATAGATAAGGATGTACTTTTTATAATTGCTTTTTAAATATATTCACATCATATATAAATTGTTTTAAATATACTTTTTGAGAACAATATTATTAAATAATAATAATATAAAAATTTTAAAACATAAAAATAAAAATATAATAATTTTATACAATCTTAACAAGTTAACACATGTTGGAAAGGTGATGATAAATTCTTTAATACAGCATAATAAAAATTTAGGTTTAGTTGTTTATTTAATTAATTTTAAGTGATTTAAGTGTATCGCATTATTTTGTTCTTAATTTTTCAAAAATTTCTTTTAATTTGCTTCTATTTAAAATAGATAAAGTCAACAAAAATGTGGCAAATATAACAAATATAGCAAAGAAAACTTACTTAATCTTGTCAATGATGTGCAAAAAAAGTTATTGATGCATGCAAAGCTGCAAAATTGTATAAAATTCCAAAAAAAACAATTTTAGATAAAAAAATACAGTAGTGAAAAATCATAAAAAACCAATAATTTTGAATGCTGAAGAAGAAAATTTTTTTTGAATGATTCATACAATGTGCATTGATTGAATTTTCTTACCCATGCAACAATTTGGGTATATGTAACTAAAATTTTTAAACTTAGGCTGCAATCAAAAATAATATTCAAATATGAAATTCCTTTGTATACATGGGTTGTCAAGTTTATGCATCAATATATACATTTTCGCAGAAGCAGTAAATCAAGTCGCATTAAAAGTTTTTCACCAGAAGATCTTACAAATATTAAAAAGTTTTCACAAGGCAAAGAGGTGCTAATAGTATTGTTATTTTTGGTCTTGAGTATTCATGTAAATGATATATTATAGCAATATTTCTTGCTTCATAAGATTAAGTTTTTAAAATAATTTTTAATGTGTTAAATATATCTTTTAAATTTCAAGTTAATTTATTTAGGTTCTATTCTGTTCTTGATTATTTTATTACATTATTTGTTCTTGTGTTAAAATTTATTAATGTTTAATTTTTATGTATTAATGATTTATTTATAGTAAATTTTTAAATGCCAAAGCAAAATTTTATTTCTCACTTAGAAAAATGGATGGAAGAAAAAAAGAAACTTTTTTCGATTATATCAAAATGCTGAACAAAAGACTCAAATATGTCTAAAGGCCTATCATCATCACAATGGACAAGCGCGAGTCTCATAAGATCAATCAAATGTTTAAACAGTGCAAGGACCGTGGATTATTTATTGTCATATTGCCACTTTATAAACCTTATATTTTGCAAGTTTGTGGCGTAACACTCATTGGACCTGCCGATCAAGCATAAAAAAAAAGCTACACTTGAAATGGATTGATAAATGCAACATTTTCAAAACTGCTTAAAGTTGTATTTTGTTGGAGATTCCAAAAAAGCCTGTAAAAAAAGGAAACCGTAAATATAAATTCCAAGTAAATTCAAGTTCGGGAATTATGAATATTGAGAGTGTGCTTAAACAAAAACGAAAATATGATAAAGAAAAATTAGAAGAAAATTTGAAGAAAAAGCTGTGCAAAAACAAGAAAGCTGTAAAAGAGAATTTAGCAATGATTTGGAAAAAAAATTTGAACCATAATGTTACCTATTAAGCATCCATAAAGATACCAAAAGACACCCAAAGATGTTCTAAATTGTAAATATTTTGTTTTTTAAATATAATAAAAAAGAATTTTTGAATGATATAAAGTGGCATGAATAAAATGCTCCTCAATTAATGAAAGAAAAATTTGATTTTAGAGTAAAGCAATGTCCTTATGCTTTATTTTAAAATCTTAAGATCATTATGTTCAATAACAAAGTAATGAGAAATGTCAAGAGGTGTTTGATTTTTAAACAAAAAAGTTACGCTACCCTATATATTTAATGAGATCCCTAAGTGCAAAATTATATTTATTTTATGAACAAACATTAGAAAGCTAATATAGGCTCACAACTCTACATATTTTTTTTTTTAAATAAAAATATCTAATTTAATGAACTTGTGTTGTCAATGTAAAAGTTTTTTTTTTAACCACCTTGTAGAAGTTTTTTTTTAACCATCTTGTAGAAGTTTTTTTTAACCACACTTTTGGGTTTTTAATTTTTTAATGTCTTTGGTTATTGTAAAACATTACAAAAAAATTATTAATTCAACAATTCATGAAGCTTTTCTTTAACACTTTTTTTTTTAAATGCTTACATCTTGTTTTCATCAACTATCAGTAAATCAAACTTACTTGTATTAATTTTTACTAAATCCTAAAAATGATTTAATGCAACTTGTTTTTAACAAAAACAAGTTGCATTAAATCATTAGCATTAAATATAATCTATTAAACATAATTTGGTGGGGTTTGAACCACAGATCCTTTGTTTTTGAGGCAAGTGCGCTACTACTGCGCCACGGCTGATATATAAGTTCACGCCTCCTTTCTAACCAGAGGTGGGGTTTGAACCACAGGTCCTTTATTTCTGAGGCAAGTGCACTACCACTGAGCCATGGCTGCTCACCTGCTATATATAAAATCAAAAAAATATTAGCATTTTTTATGCAATCTAAATTAATAATATTTTTTCATAAACTGATTATTACTTTTAAAATTTTCATACGATTCTATTATGATAGAAGCATCAAAGAAAAAGTAAATATTAAAAATTTAATCAAATACTGAAAAACATGCATGAATGTTTAAAGAATTAAATTTTATATAAAATATTTCTAACAATTAAATGTATAACAAACCTCACGACCTTTCATAGTAACCAAAGCAGCCAATGGCTTTGCATAAAATCTTGATTCACTGAAACCTAGGCAACCGTACATACTGAAAAAAATGGTATAGTAAAAAGTAATAGCCACCAGCTATATTCAACTTTATAAAAAAAAATCAACTGCTTCAAGCGGGAGTATTTTAACTTGACTATAATACTTGACAAAAAAATGGCGTCTTTAATTTATGTTGATTTTTCAAACTTATTTTTCAAATAAGATAGTCACTTTCAATTTTTTTATTTTTGTGTTAACTCTTTTTTTATATAAACGATCTACTCCAGCTGGAAGCAACTTAATACCAAAATATACTGGTATCTAATAAGTATCAAATAACAATAGAAAAAAAAAAAATCATATATAAACCTGTTAGCAGTTAATTTTAAAGCCTTTTGTCGAATATCGTACTAATATTATTGAAAAAATATTTAAATATTAAGTAACAAGAATTTAATACATTAAATTCATTTTATAACACACGTTATATATATATAAATATTTTTTTATATTATAAAAATTTATTTATAATGCATATTTATATAACATCTGACATCACACTTTCAGTGTATGTTTCAGTACATACACCTTATAGCCTGCTGTGGTAAAGGAGTGTGGCTACAATGACTAAGGGCTTGGCACAGGGCAGAAACTTTTCTTTATTTATTCTTCATTTTTTTCTTCTTTTTCTGAAAACATTGTATGCTATAAAGGTTGGAAAGACTAGATAACAAAAATTTTTAGATAACAAAAAGCTTTTTGTTGTCTAAATACCTTATATAGTATGTATAAATAGTATGTATAATGTGTGTATAAATATATTTATACACACACACACACACACATATATATATGTCTTATTTAAATAATATGTCATAATATTCTCATATGGCTGGGTTTCAAACAGCTTAACTTAATGTTATAACTAACAGCCTGTTGTTATTTAAAACTTAAGTTGCAGTTATTATATAATGTGCAAGAAGCATTTTATTAAAATTACGTCAGGTAAAAAAAATTTATGTCAGGTTAGGTTATCCTGCTACTGGTAACATGTAACCCAGTACAACCTTCATCATGTCCTGCTACCTTGTAGGATATACTTTTTTGGGCAAAGACTAGGAGAAGCCAACTCTGACATAAAACAACCCCTGCCTAGGGGTACTTAATTGAGTAAAAGCTAGAGATAGTGTCTCGATAAAAATGCTCATCTTGGGCAGATATCAAACGCATCTGGCTACTGTCTGAATATGAATGGTAATGTACTCGATGAACCATCTACCATCTTTCTAGGAAACCATATATCAAATCCATTGCAAAACTAGCTTCTGCTAAGAACGCATCTCTTTATCGGGCTCGACACTTCCTTACTCAGGATTTATTTAAAAGAGAAAGAGCCCTTTCTCTTTTAAATAAGGCGCAAAAACACATTGAAAACAAAGTTGGACCTGTTCTTGCTGCCAACCTCCAATCATTATCACATCATCGAAATGTTACTTTACTTTCTCTCTTCTACAAATACTATAACATACACTGCTCTAAAGAGCTAGCGTCTCTTGTGCAATCTACTAAAATTCATTCTCGTGTTACTTGTCATTTAAAGTCTCACCCATTTTTTGTGACTATTCCTAAGTGCTCCAAAAACTCTTAGTTGTCTAATTTTTTTCCTCGAACATCAATTCTCTGAAACTTGCTTCCTTCATCTTGCTTTCCTGATTCATATAATTTGCAATCTTTTAAGTAATCTGTCGATGCTCTATAAACTTCATCTTTTCTCTTCCAGTAACTTCCAACTCTAATTGCGGTTGTTGCAGCCTTGTTAGAAGTGAAGATGTTGAAAGAAAAAAAAAACTACGATATTAGTTTTAATAATTTACTTAACATAATCCTTAAAAAAGTAAAAGTAAAAACACAAATATTTGAACCATTTTAAACAGTTTTCTTCAGTGTCCAAGTAATAATAATAGACTTAAATTTCGATTTCTTTTTTGAAATTTTTTTTGAACAGAATTAAAACAATTTCTTTTTATAAATTAAAATTTTTTTAATTTAGTTTATGAAGAATTGTTTCTACTTTTTAGACTATTTTTAAGAAACAAAATAATGCCTTCAAAAGAAAAATATAACTATTAAAAATGCTTACGACTTATGATACTGCTACTATGGCTAAATTTATTTTTGAATTTCAAGAATGACCCTGCTACACCATTGTGTATTATGAACGTCACTGCATTTTTGATTCAATTCAACTCATTATTATTGTAATCAAATGTTAAAAATTCACAAAATTATTTTAAAGTTTATTTTTTAGAAGACTAACTTGTTGTTTTGATTTGTAAACTTGTGATTTACTTTATGGTTGTGTTGATTAGTAAATTTGGAATTTACTTTATATATAAAGTAAATTACACTAAATTTTACTTTATAATAGAAGAAAAAATATTGGCTTCCGTGCAAAAATTCAAAGTAATTCAAATTCAAAAACACTTAATATATATTATTTGCAACATACACACACACAAAAAAAACAACCTGCAAATAAAGATCTGACTGTTGAGGTGCTGTTTTAAGAAGCTGTTTCACCTAAAAACAGATACTTATATAAAAGTGTTTTAGTATATTATTGTAAAAAATAAACTTAGCATTATATATTGAAAGAAAAAGCCACAATGAACTGGGTGTTTATTTACAACACATTCATTCAATGACTTAATGTAACTTTTGATAAGTTAATATTATTTGAATATTCTAAATTTTCTACAGAGTTTCATAAGTTTGACATTTAAAAAACTTAAGTCATAAACTAAAGTCAGCAAAAAAAATTACATCTTAAACTACAGCTAATAATTTAATATACATGTATACTTTATATATTATACTATATTCATGTATACTTTATATAAAAATTCTGCTTAGTAAATGTTGTTTAGTTAAAGTTAAAGTTAGTTACACTAAAGTTGAGAAAACTTTAAGAGATTAAAGTCATTAAAATTCTACACAAGCTTATATAAATACAATATTGTAGTATTTTAAAAAATTTAGATTCTATTGTTTAACCTGAAGATATTTGGTGGGTCTGCCCACCCACCAAAATTCAGAGTGTATACCCCTGATATATATATATATATATATATATATATATATATATATATATATATATATATATATATATATATATATATATATATATATATATATATATATGTATATATGTATATATGTATATATATATATATATATATATATATATATATATATATATATATATATATATACATATATATATATATATATATATATATATATATATATGTATATATATATATATATATATATATATATATATTGTTCAGCTTTTGTCTGGTCAGGTTATCCTGCTACAAGTAACACATAACCCAGTACAACCTGCTTTATGTCCTGCTGCCTTGTAGATACGCTCTTTTAAGCAAGGGCTAGGAGAAGCCTACTCCAACTTAAAACACCCCCTGCCTTGGGGCTCTTGGTTGAGTAAACACTAGAAATGATGTCTGGATAAAAATGCTCATTTTGGGCAGACATTAAATTCATCCAACTACTGTCTTGTAGAAAGCCTCCTAGGTAAAGAAATAAGGGGTAAACAGATTCTATCTGTTGACCAGCCTTGCACCTCTTTATCTATTAGGCTGGCGCACATGTATTTATAAAACACTTTTCCAGTTTAGGATGTTGAATGCTGGATCTTCTTGACTCAATGCATGGGTTTTGCTTGTGTCTCTGTTTATATGACTAGGCAACCCATTCTATTATCTCTTAATGAGGATACAGCTCTAAATCACAAATTTATGGTTCTGAGGCGCCTGGTAGTCAAATTTCCTGAACTCTACGATAGCTCTCAGAGAGGCTGATTCCATCAACAGCTGTTAAATATCAGATTCCTAACAGTGCCATGTTGCGCATAAATGGTGTCCCTGTTTGTACTTTTGGTGAGCATTGTCAAGGCTACACTTTGAGCCATGGCCTACTTTATAGAAGGCCTCGACATCGTGCAGGAATTTTTTTGACTGAAGGCCGATTTAAAAATAAAATTGCGGTTTATTAAAAGAGAAAAATGCTGTACAGCTTTGCTAACACTAATTATTTAATAACTAATTATTCTATTTGAAAAAATTTTAGATGCATTTTTATAAAATGAGTTTCTTGACGTTAATTTGGCAACTATTTTATAAGCTTAAATAGTTTGTAAAATTGAATAGAAACATTTTGAATCAAATTTTTGAATATACAAGAAATAATAAATAATCAGAAAAATACACCAATAACAAATCTAATTTTTTTTGTACTAAATCTTCCCAAAAAAAAATTACATGAGCTTGATTTCTTTTAGTTTTGCTTCTTTATTACTTTTGGGAGTATGAAGTAATACAAAGTTCTTTAAAAAAATGTTTGCTAGTGTTTGGCATTGTTTCTTTGCAATAGAAAAACTATACAACTCTGCAATAAAAGCAAACTGTTTTATCAGAAATGTTCTGCAAACTTTTTTATCTAATAAAGAAAAAAATATGTAACAAAATAAAGACCACTGAGATAGAGTATCAGATGGAATAGTTAATCCTTCCCTATTTAAAGTATTCAAATAAGTTCCATATTTTTCATAATATGTAGTTGTATCTTCACCAATTTCTTCAGTAGAACACTTTTGAACATAACCAGCAATATAGACAATAGCATAAAAAATTTCTATACTTATACTATCTTCTAGATCTGGTAAATTGTAAATTAAATCATTTTCCATATCATCTAAATCTTTAAGACATAAAAGACAGTCATGGCCATCATTTCCTTCTACTTCGATATTCAGATGTAGCACCAGCTTAGCATGTTGAATACGTACTTTTTCGATAACTGATTTAGCAGTTATAAAGTAAGTACCACCAAAACCTTGCCATAGTTTTCCGAAACATTTCTCAATTGGATCACTAGAAAACCAACCTAAAATAACATACTCATTTCCACTTGATAAAAGATGACAAGACAAATCAATTAGTCCACGACAAGTGTGTGAAAGTGCATTGCTTGTATCTCTCGTAAGCTGGCGAATTCGTTTACCAGATGTTGGTTTCATATATTCTGCGATTGTTGCAATAGCAAGTAACTTTTTTAAATTAATGTCATCTGAAGATCTGATTACATTACGTGACTTATCCCTAAATCTAGCATTGGCACCTGGGCATTTAACATTCACTATTTTCCAAAATTCTATAATCAACTCCAAAATTCTATAATAGTACCCTTGACACTTTCTTGGTCTATTTTAGGATGAGTTTTTAGAGCTGCAACTGTCTCTTCACTAAATACTTGTAAACAAGTGCTTACTTTTTGCCGTTCTATTGGTTTAAAATTTATTGATGTTTCAGTCAATCTGGATAACTTTATTAATTGGTTTTTTTCAAGTGTATATAAGTTAACTAAATCTCTCTAATTTGCAATGTAAGTTATCTCATTTTGAGTAAACTGTAACTGACCTAGTTTTTCTGTCAGCCAATTGTTTCTTATGCACTTTAAAAGATGGACATAGTCATATAAAATATAAGAGCCATTTTGACATAACCAAGGTTTTCCGTCTACGGTTTTGAATTTAGAAAAAAAGCTTTGATTAACTTTATTTCCATCTGTAATAATTGCAATAACTTTACCATTACTCATAGAACTTTCTATGGTGTCTACAATTAATTTGCACTGTTCTTGTTGGAAATCTGATGTCAGATTACTAACTGGTAAAACTCTTGCTAGAAATTCAGGTCCACCATAAAGGCTTTTTACCATGAATGAAAGTACAGTAGTAGCTAATTTCTCTGGATTATTAACAGCTTTTCCAAAAATACTTCCACTTTGATATAATAATGCTGCTTTTACATAAACGTCATCTATCAATAAAACACAATTTCTTTTTTTTTCATCAAGGTTCGATAACACAGAACTTAAAAAAGTTAAATCATCTTGAGAGTTTATTTTTAAAGTTATGCGTGTCAAAGTTCGAATACTTGGCAACTGATAATCATAACATAATCAATGGTAAGTGGAACTTCTTGTTGCAAAATATTCAAAGCTCTGGTTATTATATCTGGAGAATACACAGCACAGCCAACAGTATGATCTCCCATTACATTTAAATGCTCAAACATTACTTAAGTTTTATGATCTTTATCTTCAACTTTCAGATTTTTAAGTCATTCAAAGATGACTTTGTACAAAGGGAAGTGATTCAGTTATTTGCCAGAGATTTAATAGTACATTTTGAACCAAAATGAAATGCTTCAAACGACAAACTTTGATTAATTATTAGCAAAAATAGTGGAACACCACAATTAAATGTTTTAGATTGGATGAAAATTGAATTATTTTGCTTGTATGAAATCAAATCATTATAAGTTGATAAGTGTTTTTCGATTTCTTCAAAATTTAAATTATCAATTATTTTATATTCTTTTAATTCATTTTTTCTGATACCTCTTTTTGAAGAAGAAGATAAAGTCTTTCTCGTTTTAGGTAGTGGAGAAGATAGACAACTTTTAGATATATTTGGAAACACTGATGGGTCTCAATTTACCACGACATAATTTAAATTCTGCATCATCTGGCCAATGCAATTTACAAACAATGGTGTATTTTGTTATGGTCCAATTTAAACGAGCGATGCTCATAAACCATTTAGTTTTTTCACATACTTCACGAGGGAATTTATACACAGATACATTACAAGCTGAAGACTTATAATTTGAGGAACAGTTTGGAACACAACATTTTAAAGGTATTCTAAATAATTTAAATTAAATTTACTAGAAGAATAGCTGTAAATTTTTCTGAAAAAACGTAACTAATATTTTACTTCTTTTCCAACCAAAAAATGCGTTTGTTTGTTAGTTTTAAATCGGCCTTCAGTCAAAAAAATTCCCGCACGGTGTCGAGGCCTTCTATAAAGTAGGCTATGCTTTGAGCCCATTATTACAGCTTAGGGTTTATTAATAGTAATGAGGCAATTGCTTGGGCTGGTAAATAGTGTACTGAGTACTATCTATGCTATGAGTCAAGTTCTTTAACAAATCCAAAAACTATAAAACTCCCAAAACTGTTGTCAACAACAACTTCTCTAAATCTATCATTCATAAATATTCGTGGTCTTCGAAGTAACTTTTCTTCTGTTGAGTCTTATCTCTTGCAAAGTTCACCAGACCTACTTGCTCTTTTTGAAACTAATTTGAGTTCAGCTGTCTCATCTTGTAGCTTAGTGTTGATGCTTATCTTCTTTTAATTCGTAAAGACTCCAATAGTCACATGCTTGGCCTGGGTATTATCATTCATAAGAATTCTCCAATTTGTTGGGAAACTAGGTTTGAATCCACAGACTATTCTTTTATGTGCTTTTGTTTAGCACCACATCACTCTATCGCCTTTCTCTTTGTCCTATATCGCTCTCCTTCATCTCAAGACTGAACTCTTTTTGATGTTATTTCAGATAAAATTGACTAAGCCCTCTCTCTTTATTCATCAGCCAATATCGTTGTGGTTGGTGACTTTAATGCTCATAACACTGATTGGCTTGGCTCTAGTTTCAGTGACTCTGCAGATGTTAAGCCCACATCTTTTGCCTTTCTCAATCTCTAACTCAAAAAGTTAATTTTCCTTTTTTGACTTTTAAACTTGCTTTCCAGGCGAATCATGATTTGATCACTCCAAAACTATTATCTTATTTTTCTTAATCATCAGAATTCCCCTATTGTTGTACCTCTTACAACTACCTAAACGCGGACTCTTTCAGTAATTTTTTTTTTTTGTAATGCCATGGGTAGAAATCTTTCGTCTTCTTGCTGACAAATGTGCTTCTTACATAACTTCGTGGACTCAGGCTGGCATGAAGTTTTTCATTCCCTCTCTACGATTCTTAGTCAAGCCTTATTCTTCTCCATGATTTACCTCAAATTGTGCTGCTGCAATTTCCAATCGAGACCATCACTTCCATATCTATCAGCAAAACAATTCTCCAGAAAACCGACGTCTGTTTACTTGTGCTAGAAACCATTGTAAAAATGTTTTGTCTAAAAAGTCATGAAGTCTCGTATTTCATCTCAAAAATTAAGCTCTTGCAACTTCTAGAGAATCTTTAACAGTATCAATAAGGGAAAATCTGTTGTTTAACCTTTCCTGCATGGTTCAGATTTAGTCACCTCACTTAAAGACAAAGCTAAATTGTTTGCAAAGAACTTTTCATCAATATCATCTCTTGATTCCAATAGTTGCATTCTACCTGATATAGCCGACAAACAGGTTAGTCCATTGCCTGACTTTGGTATCATTCCAGTTTCTGTATTAAAAGTTATTTCCTGCTTAGACTCTTCTACAGCTTGTGGTCCAGACAACATACCTATTTTAGTCTTGCAGAAATGTTCTCCTAAGCTGTCGCTTATACTTTTAAAACAATTTACCAAGTACTTATCAGAGTCTTGTTTTCTAACCTGCTGGAAAGCGGCATCTGTTATCCTTATTTTGGAAAATTCTGGATAGCGATCTGACTTGTCTAACTACTGTCCCATTAGTTTTCTTACTTTCATAAGCAATGTTTTTGAGTCTTTAAATAACAAACACTTAATATCTCATCTTGAATCTAATACTTTATGATCATCAATATGGATTTTGATTATCTCCTTATTCAGCTGATTTGCTAATGCTTATAAGCCATAGGTTTTATCATGAATCAGATAGATGTGGAGAGGTTAAGACTCTTGACATTTCTAAAGCTTTTGATAAAGTTTGGCATGCTCGTCTTCTCCATAAGCTTTCTTCTTACAGTGTATCAGGTAACATCTTTAAGATTATTGAGTCCTTCCTCACCAATCATTGTATTAAAGTTGTCCTTGATGGATAGCACTCTTCTTCATATCTTGTAACTTCAGGGACTCCTTAAGGTTTTATCCTTGGCTCTATACCTTTTTTAATTTACATTAACGATCTTCCAGATATTTTCACATCTAAGGTGGCATTGTTTGCTGATGATACTACCATTAATTCTTGTCTTGATAAGAAGCCAACACTCTCTAAATTCTTGGAGGGGACATTTGAGCTTGAAAAGGATCTCACTTTTGTAACAGAATGGGGCTCACAGCGGCTGGTGAACTTCAACTCAGATAAAACTCAAATTCTTTTAGCTAATTGTTATCATAACAATCTAGGTCTTCCTATACTTATGAACGGTAATGTACTCGATGAATCATCTACCGTTCATCTTCTAGGATTAATTCTTCAGATCTTTTTTGAAAACCATATTTCAAATCGATTGCAAAATAAGCATCTGCCACAGTTACATATCTTTATCGTACTCACCATTTTCTTACTCCAGATTCTTTTCTTTATTTCTATAAATCTAAAATCCATCCTTGTATGAAATACTGTTGCCATATCTGGAGTGGATCTTTCAATGATGCCCTTTCTCTTTTAGACAAAAATGCATTGTAAACATAGTTGGACCTTCTCTTGCAGTTAACCTCCAACCATTATCATATAGTCGTAACGTTGCTTATTTTCTCTTTCCTATAAATACTATAATGGACACTGCTCTAAGGAGCTAGAGTCTTTTGTGCCATATACTAAAATTTATTCTTGTGTTACTTGCCATTCTATTAAGTTTCATACTTTTACTGTGACTGTCTCTAAGTACTCTAAAAAATTTTATTCGTACAGTTTTTTTCCTTAAACATCAGTTCTTTGGAATTTGTTTCTTTCATCTTGTTTTCACGATTCATATAATTTGCAATATTTTAAGTCATCTGTCAATCGTTATCTTGCTCTATAAACGTCATCTTTTCACTTCCAGTAGATTTTAACTCTAATAGTGGTTGCCTGCAGCCTTGTTGGAAGTGAAAATCTTAATATATATATATTGCCTGCAGTCTTGTTGGAAGTGAAAATGTTAATATATTGTTTAAAAAAAACTCTAAAAAAACTTCAGAAAAAAAGATACTGATACTTAGATAATTTTTTGCAATAAAAATTACCTGTTTTCTCCGTTCAACTAATCTTTTTAATTCAGTTGGCAAGACACCTGTTTCTAAATCTGGAGATGGTATGCTTGGCAACTCTTCTTCCTCCTAAAAAAAAAGTTATTGTAAAACTATAAAAATACATTCTTATAATTTAAACTTTTGACCAAAAAAATATTGAAAATAATTTTTTATTCCTAAAACTAGTATAACTATATATTAAAAAAAAAAGTAACATGATGGTAAAAGTAGTAAAGTTGGTACATGACATCATTAAGTATAATAACATGACTGTAAAAGTGTTGAAGTTGGTATATGACATCATTAAGACATTTTTTCAGTCTGTTGCATCCATACCTGTTTATTTAATAATAACTTTTTTGATTACATACTACTGTGATCAAAAAGTAAGGTAAATTTTTAATTTAAACTTCCCGCCTTATTCAAATCGTCCAATCTTTTTTATTTTTAAGTCGGTAGGAAATTCATTAACATTTGCGCCAAATTACATGTCAAACTCATAATTATTTTTTTTTGTTTACGCTTGTTTCTGGATTACCAAAAGTGCATTCGGCAATTTTCACGATGTCTAATTTTGTTGACCAAAGAAGTGCTATTAAATTTTGTTTGCAGAATGATATTTCTGCTGCTGAAACGTATCGAATGTTGCAAAAGGCCTTCAGTGAAGAGACTATGTCTAAAAAAATGTTTACAAGTGGTACAAAGACTTCAAAGAAAGCCTGAAAACGTGTTGATGACTTGGAACGCTCCGAACGACCATCGACTTCGATTGATGAATGCCACATCAACAAAATCAAAGAATTGGTGCTTGCAAATCGTTGGTTAACCATTCGAGACCTTGTTGACATGGTTGGAATATCATTTGGGTCGGTGCAAGCGATTTTGAAGGATCATTTGGGCCTCAGAAGACTCAAATCACATTTGGTGCCGAAATTTCTCAATTTCTTTGAAAAAGAGCGTCGCGTTAAAGCGTGTGAAGCAATGCTTTCTGACTATCAAGACGTCTACAAACAAACTATTACTGGCAATGAGACTTGGGTCTACGCATACGACCCTGAAACAACCGACCAATCGAGTGAATACCGTGAAAAAGGCAAGCCGAGACCGAAGCAACCACGTCAAAGTCGCTCAAAAATCAAGGTCATGTTGACTGTTTTCTTTGATTATTGTGGTGTCGTGCACTACGAATTCCTTCCAACTGGCCAAACTGTCAACAAGGAATATTATTTAAGCATTATGCGACGTTTGCGTGAAGCTATTCGCAATAAGAGACCGGAATTATGGGCCAATAACTCTTGGATTTTGCACAAAGATAATGCGCTTTCGCACACAGCACTGGTTCTTCGTGAGTTTTTCGCCAAAAACTCTACCCATGTTGCTCCACAACCACCGTATTCGCCCGACTTAGCACCGTGTGACTTCTGGCTGTTCCCAAAGCTCAAGAGACCACTCCGGGGAAATCGTTTTGAGTCCATTGAAGAGATCCAACATGAATCAGCACGCGCATTGAAGGCTATCCCTACCGAGGACTTTTCGGCATGCTTCGAAGACTGGAAAAAACGTTGGCAAAAGTGCATTGGGGCCGGGGGGAGGGAATTATTTTGAGGGGGACAATACAGATTTGGAAGAATAAATAAAGATTTTTCATTTTATAAAAAAATTCACCTTACTTTTTGATCACGGTAGTATTAAGCTATATTTAAATTAAATTATTAGGAAATGCTTTTTACTTAGGTGGTAAAATAAGTGGCTTCCTATATATCTTGTAATAAAAACTTTTTCTTTTCATTTAGCCAAAGTATTTTGATTTAAAATAACTTTTACTTGTTGATTATACATGTGCAAAAATACATATTTATATAAACAATATAAAAAAACAAGAAAATATTTAACCTCTGCGCCATTACTGAATGTTTCCCTTGATATAGTAGTAAAGCAAATATTATACTCTTGTATAATGGACGGATAAAGACTATTAAAGTCAAGTAATAAGATGTATTTGTCATAAAAACCTAAATAATTGAAAGAAAAACATATATATCATGATACCAACAGTCAACATTTTATCACTCAGCAATACTTTATCTCACTTATTATTAAAATTATTTTATTACACTTTTTTTATTATCCCATAATAAAAAAAAGCGTAATAACACTTTTAAGATCCTAATAATATTGGGAAGATGAATAGATGAAATTAAAACAAGCGCTTATCACCTTTCTTCGGTTCTAACACTAAACCCCCAGCATAAGTAGGTTTTTTGCGACTCTTTTGAGGTTTCTTTGAAACTCCTGTTTGCTTTACATCTTTATCTTTTTCATTTAACTTAAAATCTTTTTTTGCTCCATAAGATTTATCGGGGAGAATATAGTTTTTTTTGAAAAATGCATGTAGAAGCAAATATTCATTTCTTTCTGATCGACCTCCTAGTAAAGTTCGTGACTAAAATATATTCAAAAACAGATCTAAAATCTAACTTTTTTTTTTTTATTATAACATGTAAAAGTTATACAACACAAACAATTTACAACACAAACAATTTATCATTATATATAACAAGTTATTATTATAAGCATAAATAATTTTAAAAAAGTTAAAAATAAAAATACTTTTGTAAGCTTTGCAAAATTAGATTCCATTACTAAAATGACCTATTATTTAATTTACATTTAAAACACTTTTGTTTAAAAAACTTAAAATGCCTTACTGCTTCAATACAAAAATATGACTCAAACATAAAGAAAACGCAAAAATAAATGACTATTAATTAAATTAATTTTTAAAATTTAAATATATACCATTACATTCCCACAAATACCAGTTATTTGGTAAGCAAGTGGCAAAATATTTAGTTCATACATTATCTGCAATTGGTACATAGCATCTGCTCGATTGTAATTCAACATATTTAAAAGATTTTCTGTTTTCTGAAGATTCTTAAGTATTTCTTCAGGTAATAAATCGTTGCGTTGCTTTTTTAAAACAAAACTGCATATTTCTAAAAAAAACATTAAAGATACCTTTACATTAAAGAATCATTTATACCAGTCTTAACTAAGTTTTTTTGATTGGTATGTTACATTGTAGTATTACAATTTTTTTTCCAAATAGTACCATGGTTGCTCCTTAAATAAGCACTTCTTGTTTTGTCTACCAAAACTTAATGTTGTGTGATTCATCATTAAGCAAAGTGATCTCTTTTTATTGTTACTATTCTTTCATATCAAAAACTCTTCCTGCCTTCATGTTTAGTTAACAGTTTTTTGTCTTTATCGATCTTTTTCTTACTTTTTAACTTTTTTGTTTCCTAGTAACTTCCAACTTAAATACTCTTCTCTACCAAAATAAAGGAAGGTCTTAATAGTTAGGGAGAGTGGACAAAACAGTAAAACTAGATTGGAGTGTCGTAATTGTCATGGTGAGCAGAGTTACTACTGTACTATTAGAGTATAAATAGAATGTAAGATGTATTCTACCAATTTTATATATTTTTTGGTGTTAGTTTTTAGGGAAGGGAAGGGGGGGGGGGCAATAAGTGTTAGAAAAAGAAAAATTTGATTGGAGGGATACTAATTAATTAAAATCAAAATTTTTCTTAAAACCAGAGATTTAACTTCTCACCTCTACATTTAGGTAAGGGAGAGTAGATTATCTGCTTAATAAGAGAGCAATTATCTGTTTTGGAAGTTCTAAGAAATTAAAAAAAAAAAAAAAATGATTCCTGATAAATATCTTCCGAAAATAGCTTGTACGATTAATGAATTTCTTTGTTTTTTTCCATAATGATCAAATACTTTGGTAAAAATTAATTTTTTTGGTTTTATCATTGTTGAAAATAAAAAAAAAAATTTAGTTCTTATGATAATAATTGAAACCATATATTTGAAACCATTTAGCAATTATAAAAGTGTCTTAGTGTAAAAGTTGTTTACATAAATGATTTGAAAAAATACTGTGATTAGATGAAATTATCGATTAAGTGAATTAAATCTAAGAGATTTAATAACAATAAAATTTTAATATCACTATAAAAAATCAAACTAATATATACTTAGTGTGTAAAATTTGGAATTAAAATAGATTATAATTATACTATTTAGATCTTGATTTATGTTAAAAAAATTAGACTATTCACAACAAATAAAGCATAATATAAACAAAAGCATAATATTAATAAGTATTTACCTGTTAAATTATAACTTTTACATCGCATGAGTTCTTTAGCACTAATCTTTATGTCACAAACTAGTCGCCCACAGGCTATAACTTTATCTGTAACATTAAAACCTTGCTTGCCATGCTGAATTTTAAATAATTACGCAGAATTTTAAATAATTACACCATAATAAACAATAATATAATAATACAAGGATAATAATGAAAAATAAAATACAGCAAAAAAAGAGAAGCAATTCTTATATGACAATTCTACATAAGTAACTATTCAATTTTTATAACTTAATTTTTCCATTTCAATAAATCAATTTTCAGAGAGTTAAAAGAAATGAAGCCATATACTTTCTCTCATTTAACAGTGCTTCTGTAAGGATACCAAAAGCCTTAATAGTTAAATGGTTTTATGGCAAAAGCCAAAGATATTCTGAAATTTATATTCAGAAAAATATTGAAATTTATTTCAGCCCAAAGAAAATATTGCAGATCCCCTTTTTTTGTAAAAAAAATCGCACCTATATAAAAATATAATTTCTGCAAAGATAAAAAACTGCATGTCTACCTAACAAGAAAATTGGATATCCAACAATAAAATTGCCCACATGTCAAAAAAAAAAAAAAAAACACCATAAAATGAATTTGAATTACTAATAAATAATTTAAAATTAAAAATTATGAATTTGAATTACTAATAAATATTTTAAATTATTACCAATTTTTTTTTTTTTTTTTTGCCAATATGTGGCCATATTGCTTATATCACTTAAAGACATAAATAAAAACAAATGCTATTCTGGCATAAAAATTCCATAAAAAGCACCCATAGATAGAAATTTTAAATTGTATATAAAAAATTTATTATACAAATATGGCTTTAGTGTTGGCTTTGTGTGGTTGGGCCATGTATATCCCACTTTATGCTCTATAGTCATAAAAAACCTCTTCATGTTTTTGATAAGTTTTGTTGTGCTTGTAGTAACTAATGTTATTGTGTTCAAAAAGCATTTTCTAAAAATTATAATTTATACATTTAAAAAAATGTTAATTTATTTCTTTATATTTTAATATTTGCATTAAATTTAGTATTTGCAATGTTATAGATGTATTAAGTTCTTAGAATATAAAAATTTTAAGCTCAAATTTTACAAAATGCTAGCAGTGTGTAATGCTAACATAAATTTGGGATTTGAATTTAGGTTTAAAATACCAACACTTACCCACAGTAGTAGATTGCATCATAAATAAGAGAAACAGAAAACAATTTTATTTTAATTTACTTTTTTCTTCGTAACAGAATTCTTTACAGAATTTTTTATGGTTAAGTTAGAACTTTTCTTAAAAAAAAATATTAAATGCTTAATTAAATTTTTATTTTATATTTTGGAAACTATTAAACTTTTTGATATTATTAAATTTATGAACATTTTGTTTTGGATTGAAGTGTAAAATAAATAGGTAAATAAAGTGATTAAAATCTGAAAAAATGATAAATCGTTAAAATCATGAACTTTAAATACAAAAAGTTGGTTTTAAAGAAAGCAATTCATATTAAACAAACAACATAATTTTTGCACCATTTTAGACAGGTGATATTCATTTGAAACTCTAAATTTACTGAATGTTTGATATACTTACTCATTATTTATCATCACCTGCATCATCATCATCATCATCATCATCATCATCATCATCATCATCATCATCATCATCATCATCATCATCATCATCATCATCATCATCATCATCATCATCATCATCATCATCACATCATCATCATCATCATCATCATCATCATCATCATCATCATCATCATCATCATCATCATCATCATCATCATCATCATCATCATCATCATCATCATCATCATCATCATCATCATCAACATGAAATAAAATTTCAAAAAATTTTTGTACTGAATGTTTGAGCTAAATCACTGAAGATAATAAAAGAAGTTTACTAAAAAAATATGTGCAATTGAGACAAAAAAAGTAAATCAAGACTTACTAAGTGTTTAGGCATATTGGCTCTCTTTAACCTTCCAATTTTTGACCAATGTGGAATCTTAAAAGATAACAAGCATAAAAGTATTTAACACTCAATCATTAATTTATAATGTAATTATTTTTTCAAGAAAATTTACCTTATTAAAATCTAATCTATGTAACAGCACATCAAAAACAAAATCTTGTATATCATGACCCTAAGTATAGTTATAAAATGTAATTATTAATGCATATAGTTTAAAATATATTGCAATTCAACACACAGATTTTTTTTTAAAATAATGAAATAATTTTGTTTAACCAAACTTACCACTATAACATCAGGATCAATAGCAAGAATTTTTGCAAGAAGAAGTCCTAACATAGATCTCTCAGATGCACAGACTTGAATTTTTGTGTTCTAAAGTTAAGAATATTTAACTACTTAATAAACTATTCAACTCTAAATCTTACAAATGTTTTATTTTTTTACGAGCTAAATTTAAAACTTACATTTTTTTGTATAGTTGATTGAAAATCATAAGGTAACAGTTGATCAGAAGGTTTCGTAACAACTGCATAGAAATTTTTTTTTAACATAATTTATTTTTGTAAATATGATTGATTTTAAATAATAAAAAAAAAAGAAAGCAAAAAACTTAGATACACATTCATATATGATGGAAACATCAAATAAGCATTATTTAATTAAAATTAAAGCCACTAAAATAATTATATTATTATTTCTAAGTTAATTTATTATTAAATTATTTCTAAGTTAAGTTTTAATTTAAAGCCACTTATATAATTATTTTTTTAAATGTTAACTCCTCCTCGACTAAAGTGGCCTACTTGTCCTGGAGAGGCCAAGTAGGCCACTTTAGTCGAGGAGACTTTAATTGTGGTCACAATGCTCTCTTAATTCTTTAACTCTGAAACACAAACTCTGACGAACAAGGTTGCTGAGTGGAGAAATAATACTACCAGGGTTGTCTGAACTCTATATAAACAAATATCTGTATTTTTTATGTTTTTAAATTTAACGTATCAAACAATTGTAAACAACTGTTAACAAAAGTTAACAATTAAGACAACTAATTTGGTTTAACCATTTAAGCGCTTGTTTGTCATAATTTATATTTTAATACTATTTTATTTTAGATATGGGATCTAGATTGAAAAAATTGTGACTCTCATCCAGATTACAAAGTGAAAGAAATGAACCGAGTATGCTCCTTAAGACAAAACATGACACCTGATCAATTAGAAGAACGCCGTAAAAGGGACAGAGAAGCAAACAAAAAAAAAAAAAAAGGGAAGAGAGAGAGACAAAAAGTACATCCACAGATCAACAAATATTTTTTACACCAGTCTTTTGGTAAGGCAGTAAACAAAGTTATGAAGAGTTTACCAACAGATGAAGACTGTTGGAACGTTGTGTTTGTAGAAGTAGGCAAAAAGATTGGTTTGCGAGTAGTTAATAATGATGGACCAAGTAGTACACTTATAGTACAGAGGAATTGTCATACTCTACTAATTCATAAATTTTATGAATATATACTACTATCAGTAAAGCCACTCGGGAGAAAAGACAAACTCGTCACTTGCTATTTACACTGAAGGAAGTATTTTGAATATTCAAGAATAACAATGCTGGTGTGCCTGTGAAATTTTCTTTAGACCATTTTATGTTAAGTTTTAAATAGAAATTCCAGAAAATATATGCATGTGTGCTATACAAGTTAATTTTTAGATTATGATCAACTCACTCGCCACAATACTTAGTCAACCCATACATCAAAATTGTGTTTGCGATCCATCGCGAAAAAGAGTTTATGTTTCTTTTTAGTGAACATTGTGGTAATTTTCAATATGAGAAGTTTACTTAATGCTGGTTGGAACTGGTGGATGGTGCAAATGAAGTGACTTTTGAACAGTGGAGTGGTGGGTTTAAGGAAGTTATAAGAATGCCCTTTATTGCATTCATGCAACAATTTTTACTAATTTACCTGCTTTTTTGAGACACTACTTTGTAAAACAAATTCAAAGTGGTCATTTTCAATTTACACACAATCAGGCATCTAATTGAGGTTCAAAAAATAGAAAAATTTGCAGGTATAAAAATAAATAAAAAACTTTTGATAGATCAAGAATTATAATTATAAGATGCTAGCTTTATATATTGGTTAGACTGTCCTTTTTAAAGCAACTCATAACATCAGCAGTTTTCAACAATGATGGAAGCATATCATCAAAAATACAATTAATAGACTCCCTAATAACAATAAGTTAATCATCAAATAAGACAATCATCAAATAAGACAATCATCAAATAAAAAGACAATCATCAAATAAAATAAGACTTAAGCATAAACATAACCACTTTTTTTTTCTTACAATTTATAGGCTATATTATTTTTGGAATGTTACCCGTTGAGATTAGAAAACTTTTAAAACATTCATTATACCAAAGTTATACTTAATACTTTTAACACTTAAGCATTATACTTACCCTCTAACTGAGGACATTGCAGTGTACTCTCATGAGGAAATTGTTTGCGTACTGCCACCTCCCAAAATTGTTGGATGTCACTTCCCAAAAGAGCACCTTGTCAACTATTTAAGTAGCTTAAGATGAGTGTCTTTGTATACCTTTCTGTTGAACATTGTAAAATCATATTTTTGGACAAATACATGTACTCAGTTTTGTTATAAATACAGAATATCTAAACACAACGAATGGTTTTGTCTGACCGCAACATGTATATCTTCTGATTTAGCTAAGAAAATTTATGCATAATGAAAGTTTTTAATTATGCCAATAAATCTTTATTGCATTACTCAATAGCACATAGTACCAAGAATTGGGCAAAGATCTTGAGATGAAGATCTTCATATATTTATTTAGAAAACTAGGATGAAACTTAAAGAGGATAAAAATGGAAAAATCTTAACTTACCAACAAAAGAAAAAGATATACTAAGTAAATGAAAAAAAAGTTATCCTCAGTACCCAACATAGTTGCATTTGTTTCTACACTTGTTCAAAAACTGTTAATACTTTTGTTAAAATAAGATAAGTTTTTTATAAGCTTCTATTTTGGCTTCTTTCTTGATGAAAAACCATAAACTCTGGAAACCATTAATTATTTTTGAATAAAAAATCCACTGGCGTATTTCTGAATAAAACAGCCATTGGCCTATTTCTTCATTAAAAAAAGGCTGGTTTTTCTTTAAATAAAAAGCCATCGTATTCACTCTTTAATAGTTAACAATTTCTGAATGAAATGGCATGGCTAACAAATGCATAGTTTTAAATTGTTAATAAATTTGGTTTGTTTGAAACTTTTTAGGGTTATTTGATTGACTACAAAACTAAAAAAAAAAAAAAATAAAGTCTTAAGGGATAAAACTATATTTTTATCATCCCTAAAAATATATCAATAATAATTTCCTTACTCAATTAAATATGAAGATTTTTTAAAATTTAAAAGACATTTGAACAAATTTTTTATTTATTTTTATCTCGCTAGAATTACATTTTTAATTTACCTGTTTAAAATCAAATTATAAACTTACAGCAAAAACTATTTTTAAAACATTGATCTGGAACACCACGATCAAAAAATACTTCTGGATTAACAAGACCACATATGGATATTATCTGAACAGATTAGAAAGAGAAAATCAAAATTAAATTCTCAACATCTCTATAGAGAATTGCATAATAAGAAATTTCTAACCTCGTGTGCATTAGTTTTTGAAGTTGTAGCAAGCATGGATAAACTTAAGACAATCTAAAATATTTCTTATATTACAAAATGAAAAACTTCAAAAGTTAGTTCGGATTTGGAGTCTTAAATCTTGTATCTTTAATGTACATTTGGTAACAGATTACAACTATCAGAAAAATTTAGCACTCAAAATACTAAATCTCAACTTTTATAATGTTTGTTGTCATGACATTGTTTGACATGGTTTCAAGTTATAATTTATTTAACACATACAATTATCTTACCAAAGGTGGAGGGGGAATACTTTCTTCAACAACTGTAATGAAAGTCGGCCTATCAACAAAGGCCTGACAGAAAATAATATAAAATTAATAAATCATTTATTTACCTTGAAATAACAATATATATATATATATATATATATATATATATATATATATATACATATATATATATATATATATATATATATATATATATATATATATATATATATATATACATATATATATATATATATATATATATATATATATATATATATATATATATATATATATATATATATATATATATATATATTTAAAGAATTACCTCAACTTTACACCAACTGACAGCTTGTTTTGGAATCTCTGAAAAATATTTTTAAAAACTGTAATAATAATTAGCATAATTTTAATTTAAAGAGAGAGTATAAAAAGGTTATACATTCCTGAATTACATCACACCAAAGGGCATCCTTTTGAAAGTGTGATAATATCTTCTTAACTTTAATTATAGCATTTATTTACAATTTTATGAAGTTTATTAAATACTATTAAAACATTTACCATACAATACACCTAAATGGCTAAAGTGGTTAGCTCGCAGTGTTTCTGATGCAAAGCGCCATGGTTCCCAGCATTTCAACTTTTTTAAACAAAAAAAAGACCATTTGCTGTATTATAAAATGTTATTAAATGTGCTCAGATAATAAGTTACGAAAAAAGATTATGGTCTTTATTTTAACAATTAAAAGTCATTTATGCTTTTTTTTTCTTCCTATAAATATATACAGCCAGATTGTAAAAAATTTAAAAATTTAAATGTATTGTATTAAGGGTTAGAGTTTAACCCTTAAAAAATGACAACAATGACAACATTTAACCACTGAACTATCAAAGCATGTAAAAGTAAAAGAAACTATTTTGTAAATCTCTTGTAAGCTCTAGGTATGCGAAAAAAGTGCTTATGTTAATTTTCTTTGCTCTTAAAGCAGTTTTTTTTAATGAATTGTTTTTCTACCATTGACTAAAAAATATTGAAGTAAATAAGGAATAAGTATAATGATCGGTGCGGAATAAATAAGTATAGAAATGGTGGGTTTGGTGAAGACTTGTATTCTGCTGATACTGACAACTAGTTATCTATTATTATAATATATTTATATAATTTATATCAGGTGTTTACTTTATTAATGACCTTGAATTGTAACAACACTCTTCAAAAATAATAATTGATATTAATTTGATTTTTTTTTTTTCATTTTATAAATAAAACAAATTATATTTTATATATTAAACAAGTTTCAAAATTTCAAACTTCAGGTATTTAATGCTAAATTGTAATTCAATATATATAAGAAATGCAAATATAAGCAAATGGAATTTTTAAAACAGTATAAATTTTCAAGACAAATTTTCAAATAATTAACTTACGTGGAAACTTAACATCAATCCAAGATGGTCCTTGTAACTTCTGATTGAGAAATAACAATTCTAAGCTAAATAAGACTTGCTTAATGTAATAATGAAAACTTTAAAAATATTAAAAAAAAAAATCTTTATTAGATCTTAGTTGATTACCTTGTTGTGTTTGATCCAAATATATGACTGAATGTTTCACCTTTTAAATCTGATTGTAGTTGTGGTTGGTCAGCCTAAATTTAATTTTATGGCTTTTTTATGGTTATTATGAGAATTTTGTACTTTAGTTTTGTAAAACAGAAAACAGTGATCTAAAAGAAACTGAGACTTACATTTAAACTAAGACTTATAATTTCATATTATCTAATGTTTTAATTTTAGTAAGTTTCTTATCCCATTTTGTTAGAAAAAGTTCTAGTGCAGTTCTAGATCACGCTCAAACATTTTTTAGCCCTTAATCTAGTTCTTTTTTTTTTTATTATTGCAACTTAAAAATCAAAGTATAAGTATGATATTAAAAATCTTTAACAAAAAAAAATTGATACACATTTTTAGTTAAGAAATTTTAGTTAGGAAACTAGAGCATAAGATTCTGACTTAAAAGTAATTGTATTAAAAAACTTAAAAATAATTAAAACAAAATTATTTGAAAACTACTTTTAAATTTAACTTTGAACTTTTTTTTTGCACTATACAAAAACTTACACTGTACAACAGCTCCAGATACTCTGCTTCATATGGTACTTCAACTTTATCAAAAGCATACTTTTTCAGAACTTTCTAGAGGAAAAAAAACACTATAGTTATTACATACAATCTATGAAACATGAATACTTATAACATATGCGTGACATGATACAAATGTCTTTATTAAAAAGAGAGTAAATATTTTATGATAAAGAATTCAATATTTCTAAATATTAAAAATTTAAATACCCGACATTTAAACTCCATGATTTTGTTTTTAGCAATAGCACCTTGATGAAGCTCCTAGAAAGTTAATATTATTAATTATAAAACTCATATATACATTCCTATTTTATTTTAAATATATTCTCTATACTAAGGCTAGACAAAACGAAAACAACATTATTTTTCTTTTTGCCTTAAGTAAATAAACATTAATGTTTTTTTACTTAAGTTGTTTTTAAGTCGTTTAGTAAAATATATTTAAAAAACAAGAAAAAATCTTTTTAGACCACTCAGTTTTTTAAACTCAATCTAAAATTATTTTAAAAACTGTTAGAGAAAAATTTGATAAGTGATTTTCTACTAATTTATATATATATATATATATATATATATATATATATATATATATATATATATATATATATATATATATATACACACACAAAAGATTACTTTTATACAGCATTTTTTTAAATAGAAAAATGTATTTAATATATAAACAAAATATTAGACTGTTTACAAAAAATAAATAGGGTAGCAACTGAGTTAAGTTTTTTTTACAAAGATGACTAAAAATACAAAAGCCAGCAAGGGACCAATCATAAGGCATTTTTTTGGTTTAAAATATTAAATCCTTCAATTATTTCAATAACTTACTAATGTCCTATTTTAATATCCACTCTAACAAAACTCAAAAATTATTTAATTCTAAAATTTATAAAACAATATTCTACAATAAATATTACATAAAAAAGCAAAAAATTCAATGAATGTTTATAGCTTAGATGACAAAAGATCTTACATGTGGATAAATCTTTTATATTTTATTTCTTATTAACTAAACATATTAAAAGCTTTTAACATGAGTGCATTAAATGGAAAACTACCTCATAAACATCTTTGAAGTCTACAGGAATGTTAATATCTTTGCCATTCTGATGACGCTAATAAAAAATAAAATTATATACATATATATATATATATATATATATATATATATATATATATATATATATATATATATATATATATATATATATATATATATATATATATATATTAGGGTGTTTCATATTATCACATAGAAAAAATAATTCTCTCAGAACTGAATGCATAGTTGTATATTGTGCCAAATGAAATTGAATTGAATTGAATGCATAGATTTATATTGTGCCAAATGACATTGTGATTAACTATGTAAAAGATCAATCAAGTAAATATTAGGGATTGCTCAACGCTTTCAAAAATTTAATTACAAATTTAAAATTTAATAAAACCTGAAAAATATTTTTTTCTCAAAATAATTCTGTTTGAGTCAGCTCTATATAAATATAAATAAAGTAGTCAAACAGATTAGAAATCTTGGTACCAGACTACCACAGTATGTCTGCTTATTTAAATGATGTCTATTTTTTAAAACAAAAATTAGTGTTTTTCATGATAGTATATTTATTTTAATTAATCTACTACAAGGTATAAAATCTTGTTTTTTAGTCAAGATTCTAGTGCTGAATGCTTCTAATAAAAATAATGTCAAAATCATTCACTTCAGTATACCAGTAGTATACCAGCTACACGGCATAAAACTTATATAAGAATAACCAGACAGCCAAAACCACATCTCCCAGAAAATAAACTTCCTATAACATCTGATGTTTTAAAAAAAACACTTTTCCACCACCATATTTTGATGAAGAAAATAGTTCAAGTCTTGAAACAACTGTTGACAAATTACTTAAAATTTGGAACAGGATCAGCATCCAAAATTATCCAAGCATTGTCTTTGTATTGCCAAAAAAGCCTACTCTCGTCTTTACCTATTTTACAAAACTTTTATTAGTAACAATCCTCATCTCTTAGTAGAATCCTACAAAATCTATGTGCAACCTATTTTAGAGTCTTGTACCCCAGTGTGAAGCCCTTATCTTCTAAAAGATATTCGTTGTACCAAAAATGTTCAGAGATATTTCAGCAGAATTACCTATAAAAGATGCCATATTTCTTATTCTGATTACGTATCAAGACTAATTCTTCTAAATCTTGATTCTCTTGAATACCGTAGAGTTAAACTTGATCTTGTTATGGCATACAAAATTGTACACAATCTCATCGACCTTTTTCCAATCACTTTACTCTTTCCAACTCTCACTACAATACTAGATGTCACGCAAAAAAACTTATATCACGCAATATATGTACAAATGATTGTCGTAAATTCTTCTTCAGTGAAAGAACTGTAAAATTATGGAATTTCTTACCAGCTAACACTGTTGATTGTCCTTATTTATCAATGTTCAAAAGAAAGTTAAATAATTATGATTTACAATGCAATTGTGTACTGTATTAATTTGTATTGTAATTATCTCTGTCTATTTTTATATTAGTGGTGTTCTTATATTTTTATTATTACCTTATATTTATATTAGTGGTGTTCTTATATTTTTATATTAGTGGCGTAATCTTGTGATTACCTGTCTCACCTTTTTGTATTTAATTTTAATACAAATAAACATTATTATTATTATTATCACTATCCAAACAGTTTTTCATTATCTACATCTTCTTTTTCAGAAAAAAAAGATGTAGATAATGATTTTGAGATTCCAATTAGCCTCAGAAAACAAGTCGTAACAACTTCAGACGAGTCCAGTTCACCATCCTCATTAAGTATCACAAAAAATCCTACATTTTGAAAAATATGCTCAGTTCGCCACATGTATCATCAGCTTTGGATCATCCAAATTTATCAGATAAGAAATTTGCAATTTTAGCATCAGCAATAGCAAAAAGCTGATGGTCAAGATCTTGATGAGGGATCATTGTCACACTTGACAATATATCGAAAAAGATCTCATCATTGAACGCAAGCGCTTTGTGTTCCCTGAAGATGGACATTGATTTCATGTTTGACAGTGATCTGACAACATGGTAAGATTCGCTAAAGTTCCAAGAGGCCAAAGATTGTGTTAGCTCACTGAAAGTTGTCAACGATTTTGCTGAATATTCCGTTGCCTTAATGTCAGCGTTCAACAAATCAATCACTAAAAATAAAAAAGAAATCCAATGAATCTTACAAATTGTTGAAGATCACGGAAAGAGAGTTCCAGATGTTCAAAAAAGTACATTAAAAAACATACAATCCTTATTAAATAAGTGAACCAGTTTAACAAACTAGTTTGTTTAGTATAATAAGTATAGTACTAGTTTAAGTTTGGCTAATCTTTTATTTATTTCAGTCACTAGTCAACTGCTTATAATTCAAGTTAATTATTTAATTATTTGAACAGTAATTTTCTATACTCTAGTCAATATTTCAATTGTAATTAAAACATTTTTTAATTTACTATATTCATTATATTGAATATATTCTATTGTAAAGCTACCAGGAAATATTGCTTAAATTAAATATTTGAGCAACCTCTAGATATTTTGATCTTTTAGACACTTAATTACTGTGCTAAAAGGATAAACAACTATGCATTCAAATTAAAGAAAAAAAAATTTATGAAACACCCTAATAAATAAATAAATATACATATATATATATATATATATATATACATATATATATATATATATATATATATATATATATATATATATATATATATATATATATATATATATATATATATATATATATAATTATATTTAGATGAATAAAAACAACTGATTAGCGGGACTTAAAGTTTCATGCCCGAAGGCAATCATCAGCCGTTCATACAAACAAAAAACATAAACAAACCGTAACAAAAACGTAAAAATTACTGTAGAATGACATCTGAGGTTATAAACAAATCTACGTAAAAAACAAATCAAAAAACAAAAAGCCTTTATTAGTCCTCTGTGTCAAATAAAGATAATAGGAATTTTTTTGAATGCCGACACTGAGATACGATTTCGTTTTTTTTATTCAGTAGATTTTTTCCATTATGCGATAAAATTACATATTTTTCGTAGAGACAAAGGTGGCATATCTTTGTTGCTAGATTGTAAGGTTTACAACGTTTGACAATTTTCCATTCTATAATGGGCTTTATGTTTTGGTCTTTTAAACTCCATATTTCCTTAGATATTTCTGTGTCATTTCTATATTTAATTGATGCAAATAATTTGAGATGGTTTGCGTATCTTAGTTTAAATGGTGTATTACTAATGCCAAAATATAATATTTTTTATTACGATCATGATGACTGGAACTTACGGTTGCTTGATAGACAATATTGTTAGATAAATATTGATTGTTCAAAGGGCAAAATGCTTTATCTACGCAGTTACATTGGTTGGTTTTTAATTGATTTTTGTTGTGTAAAATTTTGGAATTATGCGAATTTATGATAGATTTTAGGTTAGGCATGCAACTGTAGCTAATCTTAACAGAATTTCGGTTGAATATTTTATGTAGCTTGTGACCGGCTGGAAAATGTAAGTCAATAAGGGCTAGAAAACGGTTTCCTATTTTTGTTTTGACGTTTAAGCTGAACGGAGGGTTATACCAAATAATATTACGTTTACGTTGCTTTTTTTGTTGATTTTGACTTGAGATTATTTGTGGTTGGTAGGTAAGGTTCGATTTGTATCCCGATTTTTTTAAAGCCTCTTCATACGGTGGAATAGCCTTTTTGAAGAATATTTCATTAATTGACATGGAAGATAATCTTTGTTCGATATTGCGAGGGATTGTTTTTATTATGCTTGGAGGGTGGTTAGAATTAGAGTGGATGTACCTTATTTGATTATCAGGTTTAAAATATGGTTGAAACGTACCGTTACTTAGATTTAACGTAACATCGAGGTAGTTAACAATTTTTAAATTAGATTGAATGGTGATTTGAAGATCGTTTTTTTTAAAAATGAGTGTTATGTGCTTTTTGATTTTTTCCATTTGCTGACGGTTTTTGTTTTTGAATACAGCAAGACCGTCGTCACGATATAAGCCGAAATCTTCTTTATTATAATGTTGTGAAATTTGATACAGTATAAAAATACCTATTAATTCGCAAACTTCAGCACCATCAAATGCCCCCATTGTTACATCGAACAACCCACCTCTTTTTTTAATCCATGCTTCATCGTTGTTAAAGATAAGAGATTTTCTTGCATGCTTTATTAAGGCTTTGTCTTCGCTTTTGATAACGATATGATGGTCAGCAAAATTCATAGCATTGTTGAGGGTGCTTTCCTTTACGATGTAACAATGGGGGCATCTGATGGTGCTGAAGTTTGCGAATTAATAGGTATTTTTATACTGTATCAAATTTCACAACATTATAATAAAGAAGATTTCGGCTTATATCGTGACGACGGTCTTGCTGTATTCAAAAACAAAAACCGTCAGCAAATGGAAAAAATCAAAAAGCACATAACACTCATTTTTAAAAAAAACGATCTTCAAATCACCATTCAATCTAATTTAAAAATTGTTAACTACCTCGATGTTACGTTAAATCTAAGTAACGGTACGTTTCAACCATATTTTAAACCTGATAATCAAATAAGGTACATCCACTCTAATTCTAACCACCCTCCAAGCATAATAAAAACAATCCCTCGCAATATCGAACAAAGATTATCTTCCATGTCAATTAATGAAATATTCTTCAAAAAGGCTATTCCACCGTATGAAGAGGCTTTAAAAAAATCGGGATACAAATCGAACCTTACCTACCAACCACAAATAATCTCAAGTCAAAATCAACAAAAAAAGCAACGTAAACGTAATATTATTTGGTATAACCCTCCGTTCAGCTTAAACGTCAAAACAAAAATAGGAAACCGTTTTCTAGCCCTTATTGACTTACATTTTCCAGCCGGTCACAAGCTACATAAAATATTCAACCGAAATTCTGTTAAGATTAGCTACAGTTGCATGCCTAACCTAAAATCTATCATAAGTTCGCATAATTCCAAAATTTTACACAACAAAAATCAATTAAAAACCAACCAATGTAACTGCGTAGATAAAGCATTTTGTCCTTTGAACAATCAATATTTATCTAACAATATTGTCTATCAAGCAACCGTAAGTTCCAGTCATCATGATCGTAATAAAAAATATTATATTTTGGCATTAGTAATACACCATTTAAACTAAGATACGCAAACCATCTCAAATCATTTGCATCAATTAAATATAGAAATGACACAGAAATATCTAAGGAAATATGGAGTTTAAAAGACCAAAACATAAAGCCCATTATAGAATGGAAAATTGTCAAACGTTGTAAACCTTACAATCTAGCAACAAAGATATGCCACCTTTGTCTCTACGAAAAATATGTAATTTTATCGCATAATGGAAAAAATCTACTGAATAAAAAAAACGAAATCGTATCTCAGTGTCGGCATTCAAAAAAATTCCTATTATCTTTATTTGACACAGGGGACTAATAAACTATAATGGCTTTTTGTTTTTTGATTTGTTTTTTACGTAGATTTGTTTATAACGTCAGATGTCATTCTACAGTAATTTTTACGTTTTTGTTACGGTTTGTTTATGTTTTTTGTTTGTATGAACGGCTGATGATTGCCTTCGGGCATGAAACTTTAAGTCCCGCTAATCAGTTGTTTTTATTCATCTAAATATAATTATATATAGCTCTATTATTCAGTAATATTGAGCACTGTAACACGTACAAGAGACTTCGTATTATTACATCAAAATACTTAACCTCGAATATATTCTATATATCGAAATCTATACAAATATATATATATATATATATATATATATATATATATATATATATATATATATATATATATATATATATATATATATATATATATACATACATATATATGTGTATATATATGTGTGTATATATATATATATATATATATATATATATATATATATATATATATATATATATATATATATATATATATATATATATATATATATATATATATATATATATATATATTAGGGCCCTGCGAATCGCCATTTTTAGTTTTGAATCGAATCTCGAATCAAAGCGGTTCTTAATTTGTGAATCAAATTGAATCATAAATCAAACCAGCAATATGAGGAAATCCAAATTTAAGCATCTTTTATCACACTAAAAAAAAAATCTACTTAAAAATATTTTTTTGACAGGAATGATTTTTTAGCGGTTGTTTGGAAGCAGTATTAAAATTACTTTTGATTACAATTACTTTACTCTGGCTGAGATAAATAAAAACATTTTGATAGCATCTTAGCATTAAATATCTGAAGGAAAAAAAAAAAACACTCACAAAATAAATAGTGATTTAAAAAAACTCATTTTTTTTCAAATCAAATCTTGAATTGAAGCGACACTTGATTTGCAAATCAAATGAATTCACAGGGCCTTAATATATATATATATATATATATATATATATATATATATATATATATATATATATATATATATATATATATATATATATATATATATATATATATATATATATATATATATATATATATATAAATATATATATATAAATATATATATATATATATATATATATATATATATATATATATATATATATATATATATATATATATATATATATATATATATATATATATGTAACAAAGCTTAAAATTTTTTTTTCCAATTTAAGAAAAAATAAGTTACCGTTTTACGTGGAAGAATGTACAATTGGCGGTCAATATTTTTAACTGCAACACAACAACTAAAAAATTGAATATTTTAAAGAATGTTTAAATTGTTCAACTGTTTAAATATTAAAAGACAACGTTTTAACATTTAATAAACCTGTCACAATTTATTCTGTTTATAATAAATTTGATTTACTTATCCAAATAAAAAAATTTTTTTATAGATGTTTCTGCAATTGATTAGAAGATATCCCAAAATGCATTTTTAATTTAAACTTAACATTATTAAATATGTTTAGGCTAATTCTTTTTACAATCCTATTTCAGACATTAAAAATCATAAGGTGGAAAAGTACCTGACGTAACATTTTGAGGCTTCAATCCAAACTTTTCCAAATAAATACACTGTTCCTAAAAATTAAAAACTAGTTGTAAATATTAAAAAAAAAAAAAATCAGTGCCATAAAGATGAATGATAAGGTAGATAATGACTGATAAGATACTATATTGTATAACTATTGTTAAATTATTTATTTTTGCTAAAAATTGGAAGATAATTTGGGGACATTCTTTGATCATAGATTATCCTGGTCATATTTAAAATACCCGCAAATATTTTCATTATAATATCGGGGAAAAATCAGGAAAAATATTTTCAAGACATATTTGGAAAAATCTAGTAATAAAAACGCTTTTTGTGTATTTAAGAATATCTCATGTGCTTGAAAAGAAAATTTTTTGCAGGTATTCTTCTATATAAATAAAAATGTATTTTAATGCTTACTTAAATATAGTTTATAAATTAAATTAAACTAGATTTTTAGGTGAAATAGTTAAAATAACTTGAGTGATCTCTAAGTGCTAAGTGTTTACATATCTTAAATAATCCTTTAAAAAATAAGTTTCATATTATTTAAACGATCTAAAACAAAGTATATATAAAAACATAAGCAAATAACCTTTTAATAAATAATTTTTAATGCCATTTTTTTTTCTTGAAGGTAAATTTTTGTTTTTTTTAGTTTATTAAAAAAAAAATCATTGATTTTTTTTTTACATAAATACTGCAGAAATATATGGCATAACAATAAATGCTTTTTTATTAACATCTCAATAAATAAATTGATTCTGTGATTTTAATTAACACAAAACTTATTTTATAATTACATAATTTTTTTAACAGGCTGAGTAAATAAAAAGCAATTGCTTTTACTTAGCATTTTTTAAGTAATTGCTCAGCTTTATGCAAATTTTTAGCAGTTTTGCTCACCTATTTTTATTTATGAAAAGCTGAGCAACTACAAAAGTTTGTCTTGGCACTTGGGAACCCCTTTATTAATAAATATAACTGTACAAAAAAGAAAAAATATGTAAAAGTAAAGCCTTACTTAAGTAAAACATAGCATAAAGTAATTTATGAATGTTACCTTTACTGTTTTAATTATTTGATGACAGAAAAATTATTTTTAACTTGAATTTTCAGAAAAATTATTTGGATATTCGGAAAAAATAAAAATATGCTAAAATATTCGGAATTCCGGAAAAAGATAATGCCTGCTGTTGCTTTTAACGTACTCAGTAGAAAGATTTTGGTGTTTTCACAAAAGCAAAAGACAAATTTTTATTTTTTAAATACTTAACATAATGTAATTTTTATCAAGAATTTACATTTATAACATTTACTCTCAACGAAACTAATTCTATTGGGTAAATATTAGTTTTTAGAAAATAGAAAATTTAAAAAAAGAAAAAAGAAAAACCAATTCAAAATCCACTAAATATTTAAACTTCACAGCAGCATTATCAGTACATAACAATTATTTATTACTTTATATCTTGCTGGTTTAAATAATATCAATCTTATCAAAACATATTTTAACTTACGTTTAAATTGATCTTTACTTACGTTTTTATAACGCATTTAAATAAAGTACCACATTTAAATAAAGTATCAAATCACTTATAATGATTTTTTATAAAAACGTTAATATTATATATTTTTTTTATATTTATATAAGTATTTATTTTTTATTATAAATGTTTTTAAATACAAAAAATAAAAAATTATCAAATTATCAAATTGAAAATTTAATTTTTATTAAATTAATTTAAAAATTATCAAATTATCAAATCAAATTAAAAAATATCAATTTTTTAAATAAACGATTTAATTATTTTTTCTTTTGCATGACAAATTGTTAAGAATATCTTTTAAATGTAAGTAAAAGTTTAAATGTAAAATTTAAGAATAACTTTTAAATGTGCGCGCTTATTAAACAATTGTCAGTTGTAAGTTGTTACTTTATTTAAAAAAGGGTTTCGCATAATATTATATTATAAAAACATTAGTAAAGATAAACGATTCAAAGATAATTATTTCAAACGTAATTTGGATAATCTTATCGTTATAGTTTATTATTTATTTCAGTAAATTTTTAATTTCATTTTTGCTATTTTAGTTTTAAGATATTTTAATTTCATTTTTTTTTTATGAAGATTTATTTGCTTCTTTAACGATGAGTTTTTTTTTTAAGTTTCTTTAAGATTTGATTTAATTTTTTTAGTGCATTTTTAAAACGTATACAAATTTTCAAAACATTTTAACAGCCATGGTCAAGTTAAGTAAAATCAAATAGTATTTGTGTGGTCATATTATGACGTGGAACTGCACGCCTTCCTGGCCAAGCCTGTATATGTGTGTGTGTGTGTGCGCACAAGCCACAAAAAGTATTTGATGAACTAAATCAAAATGTATTAAAAACAAAACTGTATGATTTTTACTACTATTAGTTTCATGCTATTCACAATCATCAAAACACCTATTACTTACACCTATTACTATTACCTGATGTTGCATGAAACTAATAAAATCATGCAGTTTTATTTAATATATATATATATATATATATATAAATATATATATATATATATATATATATATATATATATATATATATATATATATATATATATATATATATATATATATATATATATATATATATAGCATCATCATCAAAATTTAATACTATTTAGTACTTTTTTTTTTTTTTTTTTTTTTACATTTATAATATAAAAATATATATATCATCAAACCATTATGTTTTACTGCATTCATTGGTAACAAACATTAGATTTAAAATACTTATTTTAGACACACTTTTGTGTTATGTAAAATATTAGTTGTAAAATATTGCAAACTTTTTTGAATATTTAAAGGGATCCCTAAGTGCTCCTAACATATGATCTCATATGAAAGAGCATAAAAAAAAAAAAAAATATGTAAGTTTTTTTTCTTTCTCACTAAATTGTAATAATAAATGCATGTTAACAAAAAGCAGTAGCCGAAATCACTGAAAAACAACTCCATTTTAATTTATTTTTTTTACCATTGAAACTCGATTGTTAGTTGTTAAAAATCACGTTAGTACGTCACAACAACTTTAGAATATCTACTTCGTTTTTCAAGTAAAAAAAAGTCATGAATAAATAGTTAAGTTTTAATTCTTTTCATTAGTTTTGCAAAAAACAGTATAATAGAATTCGGTTGAAAGACGTCGTTAAAAAAAAGTTATTAAGTAATTGTTTTAAATAGTTTAGAACTTATAAAAAAGTCTTACAGGGCTCGTATTAAGCGTATCGCGATCGCGATTGCTTTTCACACTTCCGCAATTAGTTTTTTCTTAAAAAAAATATTTTTGCGATTTGTTTTTTTTTTGTTGTTTAATTACTTTTTTTCTAGCTTAGCATTTTTTTTAGCAATTCTTAAAAGTAATGTTTTTATCATAAAGAACGTCACACAAAATTTATTATTCTGAATAGATAGTTTAATAGATGATTTGCTCTTTTGCGCAGAGATTTTCTTTCAACATAAAACATTTTTGAATTTAAATTACTTTAAATCTCTGCGAGGAAAATTTTTAAAAGATCGTTAAAGCAGAAAGTTGAAAAGGAAAAAGACATTTCGAGTTTTTTCTTCATTCTAACAAAACAGCCTGGTTTTTATCTTTGTTTATCAAAATGTTTAAAATAAGGCTTAAAAACGTTTGAGCAAAAAATTTGCTGACTTTTATTTGCATTTTTATACTGTTTAAAAAAAAAACTAATAAAAAAGAATTAATTATTCTTAATAATTCTAATAATTATTAATTAATATATTATTAGTTAATTCTTATTTATTATTTTTATTTTCAAACAATATAAAAATGCTAATAAAAACCAGCAACTTTTTTACTTTAACATTTTAACCTTATTTTAAACATGAAGTATAATTCGATTTATTGAACCAAATTTTTTTGTTTCACTTTCTATTGGAAAACAATTGAAATAGAGAAATTGAATAAAAACATCAACTTAAAAACCATTTAAATGAAAAACTTAATTATATTTAAACTTTTATTAGTCCTTTATTCAAGAAACAATAAATTATAAAAACATCATTTTTAAAAATCTATTTTTTTATTAAGTTTTTGACGATGTTTTTTGATTTATTGACAATAATTTTTTAATTTATTAATTAAAACAATTTCATTAATTTGCTTCGTTTTATTTTAAACGCAATTTATGTTATTAAACAGTATAAACTGTTTTACATTAACACAAGCTATTTATATTTTAAAGACAACTTTTTGTTTTAGTTGTTTTATAGCTTTTTACAATAACAATTAAATACTCATTAAAAACGCGTGATTTACCGTCAGCGTGATCGTATTAAACAGTTTTCTATGACTAATTAAAGTGGTTTAAATATTGCAGTGACGGATCCAGGAATTTTAGGTGGAGGATGTTGAAATATTTTTGAACTTTGTACCATGTTCGCGTCTCCTAAAAAAAAAGCAAAAAACAAGGTCCTCAATTTCTATGATATTTTCAAGACTTTCAGATTCTGGTGGGGGGGGGGGGGATGCATACCCCATTACCGCACATTGGCGCGAGCTATAAAAGAGAGAGGGGGAGAAGCAAAAAAAATTTTTTTTATCGCAATTAGATTTTTTTGCGTTAATTCTAATTTAATTTCTAATAAAATGTCTATTTAACCTTATCAATTTGAACCAAAAAAATATAGCAAAATTAACATAAATGTTAGTTTAACTAAAACATTTTACAATAATTGCTTTTTTTATCAAGCGAAAGTGAGAATAACCGTCACTTTTGAAACCATAAAAATGACTGAAATAAATTTATTTTTATACTAAGGAAATATTTTAAATAAACTTTCATGTGTCTAGATCAATATTCATTTTAAATTTCAAATTTTAAACTCTTTTTAGTCAGTTAAAAACTGACTAAAAAGAGTTTAAAATTTGACTTCTATTCATTTTTGGCCATGGAATTGCCCTTATAACACAAATATATAAATAAAAATTATAAAAAAAATTTTAATATACAAATATATTTTCACAAAATAATACAAAACTTATTCTTGTAAGTAGTTATGTGTTAGTAAAAAAAAACAAACTTTACTTTTAAATTTAATTACCAACTAATACATTTGCAATAATGACATTTTGTCTACTTTGTTTAATTTGACGTACAAACGTTAGTTTTTTGAGTCAATAAACTTTGGACAAGACACATTTTTTTAATCGAAGAAAAGCGTTTTTTTGAAAATTAAATTTGTTAGTGTGTGTTCATTATTACGTTTTAGAAAAAAAATATACATCAAACATTTTTTTTTTTTATGCTCTTTCATATGAGATCATATCTTTATAGCACTTAGGGATCCCTTTAAACAACCATTTTATGATTACCTGTTGTAAAAATATTACATAAATCTATATGACTGGTGCTGTAAAATTGTTAACTGCTACATCTTATTTAAAACATATAAAATGCTATCTGATTGATCTTATTTAATTACAAAATAATATACTACCTGGTTGACTAAAATAATATACTACACCAGGTAGTATTAAAATAGTTTGTTAAAAGGTTGACTAAAATAATATACTACCTGGTTGACTAAAATAATATACTACCTGGTTGACTAAAATAATATACTACCTGGTTGACTAAAATAATATACTACCTGGTTGACTAAACCGATCTTCATAGGCATCCAACCAAAAAAATCTCAAAACATCATCACCTGAAAAAGTAGACATTAACATTGTTCATTTTAAAATCAGTTGAATAGGTCAATTATTTTTGTTTTTGTAATATTTGTTATTAATGTAATGTAACTTTTATATTTGGCATCATAACAAAGTTTAACAAAGTATAAAAATACAAATAAAAATAAATAAAGGCAGTTTTTATATATATTGTAACTAACAACAAATTAATTTTCAAAATTAATACAAATGATACCATTTATATTTGAAGTAGGTAATGATGAAGAAATTGAAGAGGTATCTGGTAATGGCTTAAAAAAAGATATTTTTAAAAAAAGATTAAAACCTGCACACAAAAAAAAAACATTTAAACCTGCACCCAAAAAATCAAGAACACATCAAATATTCACATACACCAAAAGTAATTAACACATAAACAGTGACAAAAAATTACCTCTTCTTTTTTATCAAAAACATCTTCATAAGCTACTAATGATCGAAACTTCGTAGATTGTTTTATTGATGTTTTCGGAGTTAAATCAGTTTCTTCAATCTTAAAAAAAAACTGAAGTTATTCTTTATTCATCAGCTTTATGAATCAGATGAGTGTTTCTTTAGTAGAGTCTCTTTTGTTAAAAAAAAGCTGAAGTTATTCTTTATTCTTCAGCTTTATGAATCAGCTGAGTGTTTCTTTAGTAGAGTCTCTTTAGTAGAGTCTCTTTTGTTAAAAAAACACTTCAAACATGAAAACTTAAACTTTTTAAATTATTTAATAAATTGAAAAATTTGTTAAAGCTTTAAAAAAGTTTTTTTGCCACAAAACTATATAAAATATTGAGAGCAACTTGTGGTTTCTGAAAATCTGAAGAAAAAAACAAAAAAAATAAAAAATTTTAATCAAAGAAAAATAATTTATTAAAAAATAAATTTGATTCACTTAATTTTAATTAGTAGGTTCAATCATTCAAAATTTGTTTATCACTATTCAATTTATCATAATTCAAAAAAGTCCTAAAAAAAAACTCCATAAAAAAGTATGACAAAATATATGAAATATAATTTAAAAATAATGAAAAATTTCAAAATATTTTTATTTAAAAATATGCTTATAAATCATATAAAATATTTTTGTTTGTAGTCACAAAACCATATAAAATATATTTTTTTTGTAGCCACATAACCATATAAAATATATTTTTTTGTAGCCACAAAACCTTATAAAATATTTTTTTTTGTAGCCACAAAACCATATAAAATATATTTTTTTTGTAGCCACAAAACCATATAAAATATATTTTTTTTGTAGCCACAAAACCATATAAAATATATTTTTTTTTGTAGCCACAAAACCATATAAAATATTGAGAGCAACTTGTGGTTTGCCCATATCATGCATTACAACAAAGCAAAATATGAGTCAAAAATTTCATTATTTCACTAAAAGGTGCAAGTAAAATAAATATAAATAAAACCAAGAAGTGTGCCTAAACAAATGGTTATAAACCAAAAATTTTCATTAAAAAAAGTATTAAATTGTTATGCTAATGAAAAATTGTTGATTATATTTAACAATCAATGATAGAAGATTCAGAATATTCCTGAAACACTTCAAGAATTGCAAAAGCAGTGTTAAAATAAATAAACAAACAACAGAAAAAAACTCAAATAAAACTTAAAGTCAAAAACAAATCAAACATATTGTTTAAATTATTTTCCACTATATAAAACATACAGCGCATGTTTTAATTGTAATTTATGTCTCTTACATATTACATGTATGCAGGTCTTACACATATACAAGTCGGTCTCTTACAAATTTAAATTATATTAATAAAGTAAAAACAAAAAATTTTTCATATCATTTTGAACAACACTTTTATAAACATCTCTGCCTACAAAATCCAAGTATCACCACCCAAAAAAGTTACCAAAGCAAGCATATACAATGCTTTTGAAATGATTCATTGACTCACATCATCTCAACAATCCTTAAGGGAAAAAAAAAAAGATATCTTTTATCTTTTTTTTTAATTATTATATTTTATTTAAGTGCCCAAAGAAGTCCTAACAGACTTATCACAGTGCACCGCGGATGAGGATTTAATTGGAAGTTCACACCTCTTTTCTAACCGATGTCGCTAAACTTACCCAGAGGTGGGTTTTGAACCACGGATCCTTTGTTTCTGAGGCATATGCACTACCACTGCGCCATGGCTGCTCAATCTTATCTGGCAAACATATATCACTCCTATAAACTATTATTGGCAAATTTAAAAAACAAATTAAAAAAAAAACTACAGAATAACAAAAAATATTGTAACAACGCAACCAGTTGTTGTAATCATAAAAAATATTTATCATCAAAAAATGAATGAACTTATTAATGACATTACAAAATTAGAAAAATCAATGTATAGAAACCAAAAATATACAAACTATCAGTTAACAGCAATATTCTCTCATTAAGACCAACTCTTTCATCTTTAGGCACACACAATTACAAACTATCAAAATTTTTATCTACCTTATCTCCTCACATAACTATGAATCATTGCACCAAAAACTCTTTCTTATTTGTCAAAGAAGTAAAGAATGTGAGAACCTCTAATGTTTATCTAGTTTCTTTCGATGTAGAGACTTTTTTAAAAGAAATTTCTACTGATGACTTTCTACTGCTATTGATTTAATCTCAAAAAATATCCAAAATTTTAAGATCTCTAAACAGGATTTAAGAAAACTATTTGAATTTTCAAACAAACAAGCTCATTTAATTACTTTTCATTTAGACATTGAAAAAATTTAACTGGGTCAGGGTAACAACATTCAGTTTTTGCCATATCTAATAACATCTGTCCAACAACACCTGTAAATATAATGAGGTATAATAACATATGTCCAACAACTTCTGAAATTTCATTGATGTCTAATAACATCTGTCCGCCAACATCTGAAATTTCATCAGTGTCTAATAACATCTGTGCAAAAATTAAATGAATATTACATATGTAGTTACATCTTTCAAATTAACAACATCTGTACAACAACATCTGTATATTTTAAGATGAAGTTATTTTTAGGATGAATTAATTAATAATGAATTATTTTACCCAGATACAGTTACATACAGGATTTATTTCGAAGGTAATTACATCTGGAAAAATTTTTTTTAACTAATAATGTATTATTTTAAGCAGATGTAGTTACACAGTAATTTTTTCAGATGTTACTACATCTGGAGAAAATTCTTCCAGATGTTATTGGACTTGGAGAAAAATTACTAGATGTAGTTACATATTTCTAAAGATGTTATTAGGGGTTGTTGAACTTTTAGATGATATTGGACAGATGTTATTAGAGTAAAAGAAAAATACAGATGATCTTTGACAAAAGTGTACAGATGATCTTGGACTATTCCACATATGTTGTTGGACAGATGTGCTAATCTTTTACCATTAACTCACTTTACAAAAAAATGTCTTTCCGTTAATAATTGGTCCATGAAATTAAATTACCCTAATAGTATATAAAACACTTTTTTCATACACATATTTATATATTTTTTTTCATATTTCAATAGTTCATAAAACACTTTTTCAAAAAATTGTAAAAAAAGCAACTATTTCCTGATTATTTAATTTGAAACATGTTATTTGAAAAACATGTTAAAGAAAAAAATTAGATAAGTATTTCTTTCTTAAAAATATTTACAATAAATATATTAAACTTAAAAAGATTACCAGGGTTACCATTTCATCAGAAAACTCATCGTTAAAACCATCTTCTATTAAAGATTGATCTTTAACTTTTTCAATAAAATTATCTGTATCTTGAGAAGCGTACTTTTCTGTATCTTTAGTATTTAAAAAAAAAAAAAATGTAGCATAAAAAATTTGTTATATAATCATAAAATAAATGGAACAACAATAACCTTGACTAAATGTTTCACAATCTATTTGATTATAATCTGTGTCCACATCTTTATTTTGATTTATATCTTTATGTAAATCTGAAGCACCTGAATCAATATTTTCTTTTTTAACTATATGAGTAAAATCACGCACATGAGTTGTTTTTTTCAAAATTATCTTTTTTTCTTCAACGTGAGGCGAAGGCTGAGATGTGAACTGCTTTTGCGTCTTTTCAATATTACGAGTTGAATGAGAATGTTTTTGTGTTTTATTTTGTAAGGAAGATCTGTAAAAAGAAAGTTCTATAAATAAAAAGAATTTTAGTCAAAAATAAAAATAGTTTTGAAAAATTCCTTTAATGATTGTGCTTGTTTATTTTACAATATAATATTTTTATATTTTTTATTTACACATTTACCTATTATGGTATTTGCTACCAGAAGTTGTTGTTGCAGACTAAAAAATATCAACAGAAAAAAGTAAAAACAAAAAAGTATCAATAACTTTTAAATTATCCCTGGATTTTATTAAATTTTTAAAAAATGTTAAAAGCCATAATTAAAACTTACAGTGATACTATTGAGAATATCTTCCAAAACTGAATCACCTTCTACTGTAACATTTGTCTAAGAAAAAATTAAAATTTAAAAAAATAATTTTTTCGGAAAATTTTATAAAAATATAGCTTTAAACTTTAAATCTTTGATGAATACTTAACTACCTTTCTTCGAAATAAAAATATACTAATAAGACAATAAGTATTCTACAACAAATTTTTAGTTTAGTCACATTTTTTAACAATATTAGATTTTTTTGTATCAGCATTTGTTTTTTACTGTAATAAATGCAACCAATGATAAGTAGAAAAGTGCAAAGAGATTGTAGGAATATAATATATACCAACTGTAACTATAAACTTTTTATCCTTATTATCTATTTTATCTTTTTTTTTTTTAATATATTTAAACCAAAGGAAGTTTCTACTTCATCTTAATTTGAAATCAAATGTAAAAAAAAATATATTTAAAATAATCTGTTGTTTAACAAATATTTTATTTTTAATGATTATTCAACTTCAGGCAATACAGCTGTTGTCATGAGTATAAATTTTTAATACTAATGGGTAATGATAATTAATAAATGACAAGGTAATACAAAAATATTTTATTTTTAATGATAATTCAACTTCAGGCAATTCAGCTGTTGTCAAGAGTATAAATTTTTAATACTAATGGGTAATGATGTTTAATAAATGAAAAAAATAATACAAAGCAGCTGAAAAAGATAATGATGCAAAAGATGCAAAAAACATGTGGAATAAAACATGTGACACAAAATAGAAAAGGTTATTAGTGCCAAATAAATTTAGTAAATTTAACTTAAAAATTATTAAAAAAAATCAATAAAATTGATAATATTAAAATTATTGTTCTTATCCACTATATTTTTTTGCGTTTGCACTTTTGACATTTCCGGGATGATTTCTTTCTTAAATTTGAAGCAGTTTTGTATGCCTCATTTAATAATGATATGTTAAAATTTTACATTCAATAAAATATTACCTCCTTTTTTCTTTTTGTGATACAATTTGCAGACTTGAACAAATTTGTAATTTTTGAGCTTTTTACATCACTTTTTGATCCTTTACTCTACAAAAATTTACACTAAAATCAAATTTAATTCTAAATATTCATTTTACTCTAAATATGAAAGTTTTCTCTAAATATTGAATTTTACTTTAAATATTAAATTTTATTTTGAATAATGATTTTTATTTTAAATATTAAATAGTTTTATTCTATAAAATCTATATAACTGAATTGAAAAAAAAAATTAAAAGTCTTATGTAATAAAAAGTAAAAAAAAAAAAAAAAAAGAGTAAAATTTAAAAAAATCTTCTTAGCATACCTCTTTATCAGTTTTTTTCTTTTTTTCTGGAAAAAAAAAAGTTTTAAAAATCAAATGATATTTTTATTGTTTCGTGTTTTATATATATATATATATATAGTCTTGCATGTCTCTTGCGTAGCATCAAAAAATATTTCCCATAAACTGTAGTTTTAAAGAGCGCGTTAATAAACAAGACCAGAAAAAGTTTTAAAAATTAAATTTTTTTTTTTAATTGATAGACTGCCTGGCCAAACCAAACCCTCAGTCGATGTAGCAGCACTCTCTTGCGAGTCAGGCTATTTGTCAGTCGTTGTAGCAGCACTCCCTTGCGAGTCAGGCTATTTGTCAGTCGATGTAGCAGCATTCCCTTGCGAGTCAGGCTATTTGTCAGTCGATGTAGCAGCACTCTGTTGCGAGTCAGGCTATTTGTCAGTCGATGTAGCAGCACTCCGTTGCGAGTCAGGCTATTTGTCAGTCGATGTAGCAGCACTCCGTTGCGAGTCAGGCTATAAGATAGTCGATGTAGTAACATTTACGCATGTTTAAAAAATGTTTTTTATTAAATCAATAACAAAAACACCACTAATTAAAAAAAACTTTCTAGTCGTTATAATTGCGGTTTTTTAAAAATTTTTTAAAAAACAATTAAATTTAATGTACTTCCGCATAAATTAATTGCTTTGACATTTCGATGACAATCAAAAACAGCTTAAGAGACGAGGTAATTAAAATTGTAGTCGTAAGAGACTTTTTTTACATTAAAATGCTCTTAAAGCGACACTATATGAGTATATATATATATATATATATATATATATATATATATATATATATATATATATATATATATATATATATATATATATACACACACACACACACACACACACAAACATATATATATACCTACACACATATATAAATATATATATATATATATATATATATATATATATATATATATATATATATATATATATATATATATATATATATATATATATATATATATATATATATATATATATATATATATATATATATATATAGGGGAGACCGGAGCCAGTTGGCAGCAAGGGTAAGAGCATTTGAAAACGTGACAAAAATTGCACAGAGCCTTTATAATTGATCATTTCATCATCCACTATAGTACTTTTAGGATTCGCACATGCGCATAGGAGATAACAGGATTTAAATGTTTTTTGCACAAAAACATAACTTTTGGAACTTCTTTTTTAGTTTACAAAGCAAATAATTAGTCGTAAGAAAAAAAAAATTCAGTCACAATTGGTTTACTATTTCCAATCAGACTTTTTTTCAATAATTGCCGTCTTTCAGGATCTATAAACTGATTATTGAAAAAAAAGGTTTTTGGGGTAAGTTGGCAAAATTTTCACCAGGTAAGTTGGCTCATAGCATTTACTATGGAAAAATATATAAATTTTTATAAAATTAATTATTTTTTTTTTTTTCTAACTTTTAACAATATAGAAAAAATTTATTTTTACAAAAAAAAAAAAAAATTTCAAATTTTTTTTTTTACAGATAAAAAGTGGGCTACTGTTTTGGCTGTTATACGTACTGATATTTGGTACCAGCTAATAGTAATTTTAAATTTTTGGCTTAAAATTGTTGCCAAAATAAATAGTAAAAAAACTTCTATGAATTTTGCATTAATAGTACATTAATAATCATTTTTACAATTTGCGTCAACTTACCCCAAGGTGAGGTAAGTTAGTTAACTTTTTTTTTTAAGAAGCCTCGAAAGGGCCCCAAGAAAATATTTTTTATAATGAATACAAGTTAAAAATGTTAGCTAAATTCACACTCTTTAAGATTGCACTTTAATATTTAAAAAAAATTTTGATGATAGGGCTACAGAGCTTAAAGAGTAAAAATAGAGGCCACTAGCCCCAGTCTCCCTTATATATAAATATAAAAATATTTAAATATATAAATATATGCATATGTGTATATATATATATATATATATATATATATATATATATATATATATATATATATATATATATATATATATATATATATATATATATATATATATATATGTATATATATATATATATATATATATATAATGATATTAAAAAATAAAGAAGAACTAACAAAAAAGTATAATTACCAATAGGAATTTCATTTGGATCATCATCAAATATTTCTCTACCATCATCAACATACCCTCCTCCATCTTAAAAAAAAATAAAAAATACTATTATTAGTTTTACTATTATTTATTAAACCTATTTATTCTTTAATTTTAATCTTTTTAATTCATAGACTTTTATCTTGCTTTACCATTTTCTTTGTTTTAATATGAACACATAAATAGTGCCTGTAGCAAATTATTAAAGTAAATTTCTTTATAAATAACTTTAAGCTTTTAAGCAATACCATCATCTACAATCCATTCTTCTTCCTGTCTGTCTTGCACAAGTTGAGCATATTTATCTTCGTCTACAAGTTCATACACGTCTTCTTCTTTTCCAACCTTTTGCATACAAAAAAAAAAAAAATCGACACCTTAATTATAAAAATTATATAATGGTAATTATTAACTTTTATAATTAAGATGTCGATTCGAGAATTATAATTGAGAACGGCAAAAAGCTATCCTAAAAAGAACATGGCGTTCCATGCAAGCTGCTCCTCTAAACAGCTTTTTAGGAGAGCTTTTTATTTATTAAAAAACATTATTAATTACAAAATTTGGGTTTCATACTTGTTACAAGCCCAGGGCGCGACAAATCGTTTTCTTTTTATGAACATTGACATTTGTATCTTTATTTAATGAACGTCTAATTTAAGAGATAATGTCATTGGAAGTTATATTTTCAAATAATTTTTGTTCTAGTTAATAAGTTCTTAGATACATCAACGATGCTTATTGAATTTAATTAATTTTTATTTCATTAAAACAATTTTTTACGCATTTGCAAAGTGCGCACGAATTAATGATAATCAATATGCAACAACCTTACGATTGTAAATTGTTATTCATTGATATTAAATAGTGAATTTTTCTCAATTTAATTCGCTAAATTTATTTACAAATAAAGAATTGTATAAACTTAAAGAAATTAAAATAAAAGGAAAAAATAAAATAAAAAATATAAGTTGTTTCGACATTTCTTTTTTTAAAAACTATATAAAATAATATCATATATATATATATATATATATATATATATATATATATATATATATATATATATATATATATATATATATATATATACATATATATATATATATATATATATATATATATATATATATATATATATATATATATATATATATATATATATATATATATATATATATAAGTATTTAATAATAAGTTAATAAAAATATCATATTATTGACATTGCTAAATGCACAATAAAAAATAAAAACTATAATAAACATATTAATTCTAAACTTAAAAATTCGTTTCAAACATTTTAAGAGTGTTTTTACATGTTTTATTGTATTTTAATCATTACTTTATTTGAAGAAAAAATTGAAAAAAAAGCACATTTTAGGAGCAAAATTGTTTAAGCATGGTTTCTTCTAAAGTAATTGGAAATTCATTCATCATAAGTAAAATCTTAAATGCTTTTGTTAACACATACAAAAACCATGTTAAAACATAATTACATTCTTTGAAAGCGTACTTTACTTAATAGTAACACTATTGAAAGAAATAATCTTTAGAAAATAAAGTCTTTAAAATGTGTCTTAAATTTTAGTAACTGTTTTTTATTATAAATAATTAAAAACTATCAATCACAAAATTATTTGGAAAAAAAATTACTGAAAAAAAAAAGCTTTTTGGTTTTTAAAAATTTTAAGCAAACGACAACGTTTGCTTACACAAAATATAGAAACATGACATTTATTTTTGCACATGCACAAAAATATAGAAACGTGATGCTTACTTTTGTCTTTTTTTAAACAAAAGTTTGCACATTCGTAGACTTTGTGCGCCAAGCATATGTTTTTTACGTAAATATTACAAGAATTTTTACTTAACAATTACAATCATATTCACAATTTGATTGTATAAATTAATGACACTTAGATTTTGAAATATTAACAAATTAATTTTGCCGCAGGACCCCGAGCAAACTTGGATAAAAGTAAAAGAACATAATCAAAAGTTTAATTAGAAATAAATAATGCTGATATGCTATGAATTAGATAAAACTTAAAGAGAATAAACAAAAAACTAGGTAATAGTTGAATTGGTAAATATTAAAAGGGTGGAAGTCCTTTTAATATTTATCGATTCAAAATTTATTTTTTTGTGTGTTAATTGACCTTTTCAAGGTTAAGAAAGCCACTACAGATGAGGAGGCTATTTTATCATGGTTATAACCCTCTCTTAACTCTATAACTCCGAAAGACGAACCTTGACGAACAAGGCCGCTGCGTGGAGAAACAAGTTGAGCGTAGTACTACCAGGGACATGGTGGGGATCGAACTTGGAACCTCTCGCTTATTAAGCAAGCGCTCTACCACTATACCACTACCGCATAATCAAGCCAAAATTTACTATGGGGGGAAAACTGCATTTTCCCTCGTAGCAAAATTTTGTTAATGGTTTAAAAATATTTTTTGAAGGGGATGATGTTTTTTATCTTTAAAAAAAAATTATTGAACCATTAACAAAAATTTACTACTGGGGGAAAAAGCAGTTTTTTTTATCCCTGAATGTTTACATTATTGAACTTCTGCCCTTTTAACATTCACCAATTCAGATACTCTTGTTATTAAATGAAAACAAAAATTAAAGATTAAAAAGTTAAATTAAATGAAAAGATTTTGAATGAAAGGAGTTTAGATTTGGTCAAAGTTGATAACAACACTGAAAGAGAAAATATGAAGATTGTAGAGCAAGATAACAATTAACAGACAAATTAAAAGATTACAAATTAAATGAATCAAGGAAGCAAGATGAAGAAAGTGAATTCCAAAGGATTGATGTTTGAGTAAAAAATTAGAGCAATAAGAGATTTTGGAGCACTTCAAAACAGTCACAGAAAAAGGATGAAACTTAATTGAATGATGAGTAACACGAGAATGAACTTTAAAAGATGGCACAAGAGACACTAGTTCTTTAGAGCAGTGCCCAATATAGTATTTGTATAAAAGAGAAAGAGAAGCAACATTAGGACGATGTGATAATGGTTGGAGGTTGACTGCAAGAGCAGGTCCAACTATGTGTACATGTTTTGTGTTTTTGCACCTTGTCACAAAAGAGAAAGGGCATCATTAGAAGATCCACCTAAAATATGGCAACAGTATTCCATACAAGGCTAGATTTGAGATTTATAGAGATCGAAAATAGAATCCGGAGTAAGAAAGTGTTGAGCTCGATAAAGAAATACAACCTTGACAGATGCTATATTTGCAACAGATTTGATATATGGTTTCCAAAAAAGATCGGAAGTAAGAATTAATTCTCGAAGATAAAGGGTAGATAACTCATTGAGTACATTACTGTTCATAAATATAGAAAGACCTAAATTATTGCAATAACAACAGGCTGAAAAAAAATTAGTTTTATTTGAATTGAAGATCACCAGCCACTGCGAGCCCCATCCTGTAGCAGAAGTGAGAATCTTTTCAAGCTCAAATGCCCCCTCCAAGCAATCAGAGAGTGTTGGCTTCTTATCACAACAAGAATAAATGGTAGCATATTAGTGAACAATGCCACCTTAGATGTGAAATAATCTAAAAGATTATTAATGTAAATCAAAAATAGTATAGGGCCAAGGATTGAACCTTGAGGAATCCCTGAAGTTACAGAATATGAAGAGTACTGTTCATCGAGGAAAACTTTTATACTACGAATGGAAAGGAAGGATTCAATAATTATAAAGATATTACCATTTACATCATACAAAGAAAGCTTATGGAAAAGACTAGCATGGCAAACTTTATCAAAAGCTTTAGAAATGTAAAGCGCAATGGCCTTAACCTCTCCACCTTTATCTCACAAGAAGATCGAAATCCATATTGATAATCAGAAAGTAAGTTATTAGATTCAAGATGAGAGAATAAGTGTTTGTTAATTAAAGATTCAAAAACCTTGCTTATGGTAGGAAGAAGACTAATGGGACGGTAGTTAGACTAATCAGATCGCTCTCCAGAATTTTTAAAAATAGGGATAACAGATGCCGCAATCTGGAAAACAAAACTCAGATAAGCACTTGTTAAAAAAGTTTTGAAAGTATAGACGACAGCTCCAGCGAACACATCTGCAAGACTATAACAGGTATGTTGTCCAGGCCAAAAGCTGTAGAAGAGTCCAAGCAGGAAATCACTTTAGATACAGAAGCTGGGGTTATACCAATGTCAAGCAATTGATCAACCTGTTTTGATGGTTAAATCAGGTAGAATGCAACTAGTGGAATCAAGAGATGATATTGATGAAAAGTTCTTAGCAAACAACTCTGCTTTGTCTCAAGGTGAGGTGAAAAAGTCTGAACCATACAAGAGAAGTGGAATAACAGATTTGCCCTTATTATTGATATTTGCCCTTATTAAAGATTCTCCAGTCAAGTCAAGAGACCGTAATTTTATTTGATGAAATAATAGATTTCATGACTTGAGAATAGAAGGCTTTGACGTTAGACAAAACCTTTTTACAATGGTTTCTAGCAGTGATAAACAGACAACTGTTTTTTGGAGAATTGTTTTGCTCATAGATATGGAAGTAATGGTGTTCATACAAGAAGTCATAATACCTGAAATTGTTGAGAGGGAATAAAAAATTCCATGCCAGTCTGAATCCACAAATTTATGTAAGAAGTACATTTGTCAGCAGAAAGACAAATGATTTCTACCCAAGCGCCATCATGAAGAAAATAACAGAAAGAGTCAGCTTTGAGGTAGTTGTAAGAGGTACAACGATATGGGCATTCTGATGATAAAGAAAAATGAGATAATAGTTTTAGAGAGATAAAACTGTGATCAGAAGCACCTAAGGGTGAATGTGGAAAAACAGAGCACTGACTAGGATCAAAAACAAGAGATAAGTCAAGTAGAGAAAGTAAATGATTTGGGTTGTCTGGAAAGCGAGTTGGAAGGTTGACTTTTTGAGTTAGGGATTGAGAAAAGCGAAAATTGTGGGCTTTAACGCCTACAGAGTCACTGACAATAAAGCCAAGCCATTCAGTTTAATGAGCATTAAAATCACCAACAACAATAATATTGGCTGATGGATAAAGAGAGAGAGCCTAATCAATTAGAAATAACATCAAAAAGAGTGTTGAGATGAAGGAGAACGATATAGAACAAAGAGAAAGGCAATAGAGTGAAGTGGTACTAAACAAAAACACATAAAAGAATAGACTATGGATTCAAACCTATTTGGGAAACAAATGTTTCCCAACAAATGGGTGAATTTTTACAAAGGTAAATGCTTAGGCCGAGCATGCGACTATTGGAGTCTCATCGAATTAAAGGAAGATAACTATCAACACTAAGATCACAAGATGA